TTTTTTTCTATTTTCTTTTGTCCCCTAGAGAATTATATAGAGAGGCACATTCTATGTCATGATAGGAAATTAAATGTCTTATCTTGAACGCGTCCAGGAGACTCCACTTGAACCAGGGATAAGCTATGGACGGAACCACGGAATGTTGGCCGATCTCTCAGAATTCCCGAAGGCGATCCGAGTCAAAAAGTTCTTCGCTTCTGACTCAGGCCTAATGGACCAGTCGGATTGTTCATAACTCAGCTCAAACACCGCATTGTGTGGAGTTAGCGTAGTATGGACACCGCTCTTATCTTTTTTCAAGATCGATAGGACAGGCCCACAAGTCTCCCGCATCGCTCATGCTGGGAGACTAAGACCAAGGCGAGTTCTTGCGTGCCACTTGCACGGTCGTCGTTCTCATCTTCTTGCGAACGCAGGATGTCGGACTTCTTCGAGGGGTTCCAGCAAGTCATCGGCCCCTCACTATCGCAGCTCGGAGGGGAAGAGGGTGTCTATGGTTCAGATGGCGGTCTAGTCCAGAGGTCGGTTCATACTCACTGGGCTGCATTGGCCAAGCTAATTGATTCCAGGCGCCTCTGGCAATATCGAACACAGAAAATCTCGGCTTTCGTGGCCACAGGTAACTTGCATCTTGCGGCGGTCTTGTTATCATGTGTAGTATTTCTTGCGTTCGGCCTGCGTTATGCGGCGTGTGCCAGCAGGTCAAAATCTCGGATTCGAGCAGAATCACACAATGAAGATCTGCCCATTAGGGTTTCTTTGCCTTTTGCCTTCTTGCATCTGGCTGCTGCAATCGCTGCTTGTTGTCTCGGCTGGATCGATGCGCAGCATACGGAGAACTGGAAACAAGCGATCGCAGAGAGCTACGCGGTCTTATTAGGCTTGATGCAGTTTTGCTTCAGGAATGAGCGTACTCGGACTCACCTATATCGCCATATCAATGCAGTGGTTCTTGCGATATTCCTTTTAGTATGCGTCCAGGATTTGATTCCCATATTGATTGTCGGGGCGACATCTGGCCTCAGTGGGATCAGGGGTGGCCTCTTAGTTTGCCTGGCTGCTGTGTTGATAGTCGCAGCTGCGACTCCCAGACCACGTCGTCTGTTCGTTCCTGATCCAGAAAATGAGGAAACGAAAACGGTCCAAGAGGTGTCGCCCGAAGAGACCTGTTCTTTGTTCTCATACTATTGCTCGTACGAATGGCTGACATACGTGATCTTGCGAGGCTGTCGGAGGGACCTAACGATGGATGACCTCCCTCCTTTACCCTCGTACGATGAACCCTCCAAGTGGCTCAAAAAGATCAAGAGGCAGCGGCTCAAAGGCGGCAAGACTTTCCGAACATTGTGTAGGTTGCTCAAGACCGAAATCAAGAGCATGATGTGCTGGTCGTCCGTCACGGCAGTTCTGGATTTTGTCGCACCGTATTCCATGCTGCGACTGCTCGCGTACCTGGAAAACCCCGACGATGCCATCCTTCATCCAGCCCTGTGGGTGGCCCTTTTATTTATCGGCCCAATGTCGCGATCGCTGTGTTATCAGCAATACATTTTCACTGCGACACGACTTCTTGTTAGAGTCAATGTGTCGCTGGTACAGGAGATATATCAGACCGCAATGCGGTCGTACCTCTACGATGACTCGATCGTCGAAGCCAGTACAGAAGATCGCCCGAGGTCCTCTCGAAAGATGAGAGAGTCCGCGAAAGGGGCGCCCAAGTCGAGTCAAGCGAACATCACCAGCCTCATGTCGTATGATGTGGACGCCATCTACAACTCTCGCGACATCTTTTTCGTGGCCACTGCAGCCCCGATAGCCACCACAGTTGCCGTGATATTCCTCTATCGAATGCTCGGCTGGCCATCACTGTTTGGAGTCTCTGCACTTTTATGTCTCTCGCCTCTCCCTGCCTTGGCCTCTCGCAGGGTGTCACGCATCCAGAGATCTGTGATGCAAGCTACGGATGTTCGACTCTCTAAAATATCAGAGTACTTGAGCTCCATACGTACGCTGAAATATTTCGGCTGGGAACATGCCGCAATGGACTCTATCAACGAAGCTCGAGGTGTGGAACAACGCCGTCTCTGGAAACGAAGTGTTTATGCAGCGGCAATTTCCATGGCTGGCGACTTGCTACCAATGGTGAGCTTGCTGGTCATGTTCTCCGTCTTTGTGCTATTTACCAAGGACACTCTGCGCGCCGCAACGGCCTTCACATCTCTGTCTATCATGGAGACCTTGCGGTCCCAATTCGTCTGGCTGTCCAATATCAGCCGAGCCTCTGCCCAAGGAGCCGAATCCCTGCGGCGAGTCGACCGCTTTTTCGATACAGCAATGGAAATCAAACATCACCCCGAAGGACCATTGGAACTCAAGCATGCAACGTTTCGCCGCACCCCGATTGCTGCGTTCCGATTGCATGATGTTTCAGTTCGCTTCAGACCACGCGCCCTGAACGTAGTGACCGGTCCCACCGGCAGTGGAAAGACTTCTTTATTACTTTCGTTGCTGGGAGAAACGGTGCTCGAATCTGGAACGGCCTCATGCCCACGAGACGTGGCTTATGTGCCACAAGCTCCTTGGCTCCAGAATGACACCATTCGCGAAAACATCACCTTCTTCAGCCCATTTGACAAAGCCCGCTACAACGCAGTGATCGAAGCAAGCGGGTTGGTTCAAGACCTCCGACAGCTGCCGGCTGGCGATCTTACCGTCGTGGGCGAAAAGGGCACATCGCTTTCCGGTGGTCAGAAGCAAAGAGTATCCTTGGCGAGGGCGCTATATTCGCAGTCCTCCACCCTCCTGCTGGACGATATCTTCTCTGCGCTTGACACTCATACCACTACACTGGTTTACGACAAGTGCTTTCGCAGTGGCTTGCTCTCAGATCGAACGGTCGTTCTTATCACGCATTATCCGGCCGCGTTGCAGGATGCAGAGCTGCTTGTACGGCTCGACCATGGCAAGGCATCTACGGAAGAAACACCTTTGAGCCTCCCCCAGGCCCTTCTAGAGCGTACGGGTTGCAGTACACCCGCAACCGACACAGATTCCGTAACCTTGGGTACGCCGCTAATAGTAGAGGAACCCTATGATGCCCCTTCGGAACCTACAACCACTATTGCCCCGGCACATGAGCAGCAAAGTCCGCAGGTAGGGCGCATAGCAAAGGAAACATCAGCTACGGGGCGTGTGCCGCGCACTTTAGGTAAGTTCCACCCCGGAACATTTCTCAAAGCACACCTAACCATTCCTCAAGCCTTACAATATATGCTCCTATTCGGCGGGCCTTGCTACGCACCCGTCGCAATGGCTGTGACTATCGCAGTACAACTCGCATACTTTGCAATCACCTACTGGCTCTCTATCTGGATGGGCGCATACGAGAAGTACGAGAACCCAAACTCCCTCTACTATCTAGGGGTCTATGCCGCTGCGATCATCCTCTTCCTGCTACTGCAGCTCACTGGCAATCTCCTCTATCAGTACGGCAGCTGGACAGCGGCAAAGAAGATGCACAGGCGATTAGTGACGGCGGTACTATCGGCTCCCATCTCCTGGTTTGACCAGAATCCCATCGGACGATTGATCAACCGCTTCGGCAACGACACCCGCTCGCTAGACACTGTGCTGATAGACTGGCTACGCATGTCAATCGAGAACGGGCTGCGGTTCCTGCTTCGCATTGCCAGCGTTGCCTCCATCATGCCTATATTCGCTCTTCCGGCTGCGGTCATATGCACCATCGGGTTCTTCATCGGGGAGATGTACACCCGCACGCAGGTGTCCATCAAGCGGCTGACGTCCATCAACTACTCTCCTGTGTTTTCACATTTCACCGACTCGCTTTCCGGCCTGTGCGTCATTCGCGCCCGCAAGGACATGGACCTGGTGTTCCAGAGGCTCCTGGCCGAGAAGCTGGCCGTCCATGCCCGCTCCGCGGAAACACAGTACAACTGCAACCGCTGGATATCCGTGCGATCCGACTTCTGTGCCGCATCTGTCGCCGCCGCCGCGGGCTGCGTGGCGTACTTCTGGTCCGGGCCAGCAGGGCTCGTCGGCTTCTCATTGACCAACGCCATCGGCCTGAGCCAGAACATCCTCAACCTAGTCCGGACCATGAACGAGCTGGAAGTCGAGCTGAACTGTTTCCAGCGCGTGCGCGAATACACCGACATTGAACCCGAGGAACGCCTGCCAGCCAAGTCATCGGCGGTTCCAGCCAGCTGGCCCTCCTCCGGCCGCGTCGAGTTCCACCACGTCACCGCGCGATACCAGGCCGACGGGCCCGACGTGCTGCGCAATGTCTCCTTCGTCGCGAACGCCGGCGAGCGCATTGGGCTCGTCGGCCGAACCGGCAGCGGCAAAAGCACCCTCGGCCTCTCCCTGCTGCGATTCGTGAACCTCGCCTCGGGCCAGATCACCATCGACGGCGTCGACATCGCCACCATCCTCCTGAACCGCCTGCGCACCAGCGTCACCCTGATCCCCCAAGAACCCGTCCTGTTCTCCGGCGACGTCCACTCCAACCTCGACCCGTTCGGCGCCTCCAGCGAGACCGAGCTCGCCTCCGCCCTGGCCGCCTGCACCTCCATCCACGTTCCGGACCATGCCCATCCCGCCAAACCCACCCGCCCCCTCGCCCTGGACACCCCCGTGGCGGCCAACGGCGAGAACTTCAGCCAGGGCCAGCGCCAGGTGCTCAGTCTGGCGCGGGCCATGTGTCGCCGGTCGAAAGTCGTGCTGCTGGACGAGGCGACGGCCTCGGTCGACCATGAGACGGACATGCACATGCAGCGCGTCCTGAGGGAGATGTTCCCGGATTGCACCATCATCGCTATCGCGCATCGGCTGAGGACTATTATGGATTACGATCGGGTGCTTGTTATGGTCGATGGGGAGATTGTGGAGTATGTTCCCCCCACCACTGTACTTGATAGTAATGTGACATGTCGATGCTAACGAGCATACTAGGAACGACACGCCCGCCAACCTGGTCAAGAAAGAAGGCGTGTTCTGGGATATGCTGCGCAACACAGGCGAATATGACGAGCTCGTGCAGATGATTGAGACGAAGCCTTCTGCGTCGTGAAGAAATACTATAACCACGAAAAACAGCACAACGATATATATACTACAAACTAAGCCGACAGAAGTTGGATATAGCATATCATGATCTACCGAATTTGTTCACAGTCACGTTGCATATAGAATGAAAAATGAATATGTATTCCATAAAGCAGTATTCTATCATCACATCTTTCTCCACATCATTACCGAAAAAAAAAAAAAAAAATTCAAACCATCTACACCGGCGCAATCAACTGCTCCTCCTTCGGCCACTTCAGCAGCACCGCCTTCTCGCCCGTGAGCGTAAACCGCAGCACAACCTCTCTCTCATTATTCAGCGCCACCTCATACCGTCCAGGATACAGCACGCGATTCCCCGCCTCATCCGTCCTGGCCAGACTATCCACCGACACGGGGATGACCATGGTCTGCGCCTCCCCGGGCTGCACGGCGCTCAGCCGCTCAAACCCAACCAGCCACTTATTCGGGTACGGCGCGGGGCCCGCGGTGGTATTCACGAAGGCCATGGCGGTGTAATCCGAGACCCTGGCTCCAGTGTTGGTGACATCCACCGTGAAATTCAACAACGGCATCTGCTCGACCAGCTTGAAGCCCGGGTGCGGGCGCGCCAGGAGCTCGTCGATGTGGAACGTTGTCTGATTCTTCCTCCCCGCAGCGGAAGGAGCGGCAGTGAAGTTCGTGTAGAACAGGCCGTGGCCGAACTCGTACACCGGGGTGCCCGTGTACCACATGTAGGTCTGGCCGGGGTTGGACCCGTTCGGGCGCAGGTTCATGTCGATGGCCGGGAAGACCTCGGCGTAGTCGGCCGGGTACTGCGTCGTGACGAGCCGGGCGGCCGGGGTGCGTTTGCCCGTCAGGATGTCCAGGAGGGCCTGGCCGCCGGACTGGCCCGGGTAGCCGCCCCAGAGCAGGGCGTTGACGCTCTTGTTGGCCTTGAGCGCGGAGGAGTCGACCTGGCCGCCGCCCATCTGCAGCACGACGAGCGGCTTGTGCAGGGCGGCCAGCTTGGTGATCAGGAACAGCTGGTTGGCGGGCCAGGTGATGTTTGCGCGGTCCTGGGTCTCGGTCTCGAGGGTGTTGTCGATGCCGCCGGCGAAGATGACCAGGTCGGCTTGCTGGGCGAGGGCGAGGGCGTCGGCCTGTGCGGTGGGCGAGGGGTCGGTGGTCGTGTTTGTGCCGAGGGCGTAGTGCACGTTGTAGCCGGATTGCTGGAAGGCGGCGAGCGGGCTGATCAGGTAGGGGGTTGGGCCGTAGTAGTTGCCCAGCATTTGGGTGGTGGCGTTGGCCCAGGGCCCGATGAGGGCGACGGTGAGATTGTTGCTGGGGAGCGGCAGCAGGCCGTCGTTCTTCAGCAGCACGATACTTTGGGCGGCGGCTTCGTAGGAGAGGTTCCGGGCGTTGGTGGCCAGCACGTCGGCCCAGGTGATGTTGCGGTAGGGGCTGGTTTTGGGGTCGAAGTAGCCGGCGCGGATGAGACTGGTGTAGAGACGGGTGACGCCGCGCTCGAGGTCCTGGCGCGAGACTTCCTGGTCGTGGAAGGACTCGGTGAAGTGGCGGGGATAGGAGACGCCGCAGTCGATGTCGGTGCCGGCGCGGATGGAGTCGGCGGCGGCGGTGGATTCGTTGGCGGCGTAGCTGTGCGGGTTGAAGACGTTGTAGACGGCGCCGCAGTCGCCGGAGACGTAGCCGTCGTCGACGAAGTCGAAGGTGTCACGGAGGAGGGTCTGCAGGAAGAAGGAGTTGGCGCAGCTGGGGACGCCGTTGACGGCGTTGTAGGAGCACATGACGCTGTGGACTTTGGCGTCGCGCGAGGCGACGAGGAACTGGGGCGTGTAGTATTCGGCCAGGTCTTGCTGGGTGATTTGCATGTCGTTGCCGAGACGGGAGTGGTTGCCCCAGTTCTCGATGTCGTAGCCGGCGTAGTGTTTGGCTGTGGCGATGAGCTTGAGCGGGTTGGCGTCCACGCCGCCTTGGATGCCGGTGATGTACTCGTAGGCGTAGGTGGAGGCGAGGCAGTAGGCGTCTTCGCCGGGGGTTTCCTGGCCGCGGCCCCAGACGGGGTGGCGGAAGGTGTTGATGTTGGGGGAGTAGACGTCCAGGCCGTAGCGGCCGGCATTCATGAAGGCGCGGCCTTGCGTGGAGATGATGGTGGCAATCTCGTGGATCAGGGTGCGATTGAGGGCCGCCATGGTCGAGATGGGCTGCGGGAAGGACGTGGACCAGCTGAAGTCGCCGGCATCGCTGAAATCGGCGTGGGCGACGCCGTGCAGGGCTTCATTCCACACCTGGTACGCTGGCAGTCCGATTCGGGGGGCGCCGTGGCCGGTGTTGCCGGTGTTATTCACGAGCTCCTCGAAGGTCAGAAGGGAGACGAGGGCGGCGGCTCGATCATGGGGGTTTGCGGATGTGTCGCAGACCAGTGTCTTGCTCAGGGGACCGCTTTCGCAGTCTGGAAAGGATGTACCGCCTGTCTCCAGACATTCCGGGAAGAGGTCTGGGTTCGCTTCGACGTTGTAGTCGACGTAGCTTTGGTTTGCTTGACCAAGAGCGGTCGGCAGCACGGCCGCCAGGACGGCGACGATGGACGCAGCACCAGGCATAATGGCAATTGTCAGCGGTGCAGTGCTGGAGCGGTTCCTTCTGTCGTGTCGCCCGGCCGTGGGCTTGGATTTATAGGCATTGGCAATGGCATTGTTCGTCGCAGGGAGATGTAGCTGTCTTCCTTACGCTGTGTACGTCATTCTCTCTGGGTAAAATGTCGGCAATGCTGCAGTATCTCCAATATCCCCACAGATGAAGTCCCGAATCAAGCAAGTCCCGCAGCCGATCAGCGCCTCCGACGCGGGGATATTCCGATGTACGCTGAACCACCCAATGCATTCAGGCTGAATTGCAGGGGGAGGGCCGATGGCCTGACTCGGGGTCATCGAATCTGAACAATGCCGACTGATCCATTCTCAGGCGGAGTTCTACATGGACATCCATCCAAGGCCGGACAATCTTCGGGGAATGCTGCTGCGTTGGCCATGCTTAGTTTCTCCTCTTTAGCCTGAAAGCATACACTGGCATAGCTCCATGCAAACTCATAGAGTAATAGTCCCATACTTAGCTCAGTCTCGGGCAATAGAAGCATTCCAAGTTGCCGAGTGTTTGTAATCAAGCCTCCTGAAGCTCTGGATTTAGACTTATTGCAACTAATTGCATGCAATCTCTCGCATAGCATGCGCAATGCACAGCGCAACTTATGAGAAAAATATTAATTACTGAAGTTTATTAAATTAGCTGCTCCGCGATAGGTCTTGGATTCCGTGGGAAAACCTTGGACGTCGCCGCTAAGCTTTTGATTCTAAATTGCTGCTTCGTATAAAACCGCACGGACACTTCTTATTTAACCCGTCATTTTGTAACCCCCGAACTCCGAATTTCTTAAAATTAGGTAGTCTTTCGAGAGCCACAGGACGAGGAGCTACTCGAGCACGGCCCAATTACTGGTGAAAACCCCCTTGAAGTATGACCGGCGTCGCAAACACTTGACTACGAGATGGATCAAATATGGATGGGGTAGGATCCCCACCGACCGTTCTGTGTGAGAATGGACCTGACAAGTAGGGCCGAGGACCCTAAGGCCTACCCCGGAGTATACAAGGCTGGGATACTGATATACTGTATACCGACTTCGCTTTCGCTGAGGCTATAGAGCATGTCATGTGGGTACAACAATCGGAAGCATATCACAACGAAATCTATGAATTCCTTAGTGGGCTTTAGAAAATAAATAGAATATGGACCACTTTTATCAGAGGCTAGCGTTGAGACCAAAGTAAACCCTCCGACACCACTGTTCAGCAGTACTATACATAACGTCTTCTAAGTATGATCATTTTGTGAAGATATGAAAGTCAGGCACTATGACACCTTTCCAGCAGAGAATATTCCAAAGAAAACAGACAATAAAGACTCGAAGCTCTTTAGATGTCCTGTGCAAGGGGGGACTGAATGGACATACATGCCCTCGAGTTTGCAACAGCTTGCAGGGAACGTACAACCATCGAAGAGTCCAACAACAATTCAGAATATCTAGGCAAAGGGATTTGTCTTGCGCTTCCATGTACCCCATGTTGTATACCACGTACACAAATCGCGCATGGTATGCATACCATGTCGGCTGTCCCTCGCACGTTCCAGCATTCCCAATACTCCTTTCTCTCCACAGACCTCCTTGCAGTTTTTAAAAACGCCTGAATGAAGGACGGTATGTTATCCACACATTGCTACTCTTTCTGTGTCCAGACTACGTATCCGCTTCAGAAGGATGGACCGCAGAATATTCGGCGCTAGCGATTCGCACTGCATCCCTAGATTCACGTCATATCCAACAAAATGGGAGTGTACCACGGAAAAATGATCAGAAGTTTATGATAGGAAATATTGTAACAATAGAGCAGAAAAAGAGCAATAAGATGAGCCGGTATCCCTGCCCAGATACACCAAAAGAATATTCCATAAGCACCTCCCTCTACATCCATCTATATATCCAATATAAAAACCACCATGACCGAATTGATCCCAAGCTGGCAGCAACCCAGCCACCCAGACCGACTTCTAGTGGTCAAAGGCGACCAACCCTACACATCCTCAGCGCGATCCCTCATCTCCCTACCAGCAGGTGCCTTCTTCGCCAAAATCACCACCGCCACCCCTGGCGATCACGATACATACTCCTCCGTCGCAACAGGCATAGACTCCCGGATCGAGTTGAATTCAGACCTCGTCTACTGCAACCACTCCTGCGCCCCGAGTCTGGTATTCGACATGACGAGATTCGAAATCCGTGTTGCGGATGACCGTCCTTTGGCTGTCGGGGACGAACTGACCTTCTTTTATCCGAGTACGGAGTGGACAATGGTGCAGCCGTTTCAGTGTCGGTGTGGAGCTGGCCTGGGGAAGTGCTTGGGGCGAATTGCGGGCGCCAGTCAGATTCATTCCTCGGTTCTGAAGGAGTATTGGCTGAATATTCATATCCGGCAGCAGTTGGATGTTCTTCCGGCTTGCGAAGTGAAGGCGGCCATACCACCTCGTACGGTTGAGGTGAAGGAATAGCTGGGTATTTGACTGTCGGAGATCCCTTGAACGACGTGGTCTCATGGGGCTGGCTTTGGTTACCATTTTGATACTGGGCGAGTATCTTCACATCATCAGCAGAGTTGATTAGTGGTGTTTCAGTTTTGGATAGACCAGCAGTAGCTCCAATGTCACTTCCTCTTATCAGACAAAGCCACTTAGTGTCTTCTGTAAATGCTTGTTTGGGGGTGGCAGGGGTCAGCACTCCCATGTTTTTTACTGGGTCTTACTCGACCTGAAACCTCAGTTGCTTGAGACATCATGAATGACATTTACAAGAGATTATATAAATTTCTTACCACTCCTCGTCAGCGAGTTGTCAAGTATCTCGTCATAGTGATGGCTATGTCGTCGTTGAAGTCACAGAGATCTACCTCAAACTGCAGCGTATGCCTTGATTAGATCGTGTGGTTATATCGATAGAGCTCCCATAATTTCAGCGGATGAAAGATACATCTTTGGGATCCTGCAATAGCTAGATGTCGAGAAGTCTTGATTAGAACTCACTTGTCACCAGACACAAGGCGTACACGAATGCCTCTTACAGGATTTGGCAAAGAGGAATTGATTTTAGGCACGATGATTAGGGGTTCTAGAACACAACATGTAAACACAGTGCTCTGTTACCTACAGCAACACACTGTGAATTAAGTCCAGCATGAACCGAACCAGCCCATTGATTCAACCAACAAAAGTCAAGAAAAAGTTCATATCAATGAAACTTTTAACAAAATCATCTCCTCAGCTCCTTTTTGTTTTCTCCATCGCGAAGGTTATTCCAGTTCGTAAACTGCATCTACCTCGCCTGTCTATGACCTAGGTCCCTCTCCCGCAATGGAGCACCAGCAGCATCTATCGAGTGACGGCACGCGTGTTCACACAGCACGCAAAAGAAGACATTCAGATACCTCTGCAAAACTCACAGATATCAAACATGTCCATACCCTCCAGAAGACTGTGCTGAACGTGTTATTAGACCGTCTTGCAGAGGGAGGAGTAAACACAGAAAGTATCACTCCAGAGCTGGTTAATCATTGTCTTCCGACTAGCCTTGATAATAGCTCCTGGGAGACCCTCTTGTACACGCCTCTTAAGCTTTCGGACTGCAAGTTACAGGATATGCTCCGTTTGAAGGCTCCACGGGAGCTAGATGACCAGAATCTACAGCAAACAACAATATATGTTCGTTGTTTTCAGATTAAAGTTGACCAGCTGCAGGAGGTCATTGCACAGTTTCATGGGACCGGAATACAGTATGCAAAGATAACAATGTGGTTAGGTGGCATCATGGGTATGCAGTCTGATGAGACTGTCTATATTAGATATGTTGGAAGAACAACACGGACACGGGGTGCGATTAAACGACACCGAGAGGATTTATTGACACGACGGACTGGCTTTTTTTCGAAATTTCTCACATGCTTAGAGAGAACTTTCCCAACAGTGATAGACTCCGCTTCTATCTATGTATTTCCATATAAGAAAAATGGAGGCCTCCGAGAGATTCAGCAGTTCGATGATATCGCCGAACAGGCAGCTATTGCATTACTTGGCTTGCCCTATCTGTTGAACCAAGTCTTAACCAAGACAGAAGACTGGAGCCTAAAGCTACATGAATCTCATTGGCAACAATTTGACGCCCTGAATACTAGGACTATCTCTAGACTGAACCCTTGTGAGTTCTATCCCATTGCGATGGAACCGTTGATTGCGGCCTGGGCAGATGATATCCAGTGCTATGCGAAGGATCATCAAGGTTCAGTTTCCTTCTTTAGGCAACGCTCCCACAGTTTTCCTGACACTTTGAGGGATATGATATTCCGTCAGGCCATGCCTTCAGCCTGGAACGGAAGATTTGTTCTCCTTCTGACTGTGGGGGCTGGGAATAGCCGTGAGGGCTATAAGGAGCAGCAGCCCTTCTACACTGGTCCCAGTCAATCGGCAAACTTATTGAGGATATCCCTTAACAGACTCTGGAACCGAGAGGAGTCTAATAGACCTGAAAGAGATTACCTTTGTGACTTGATAGCAGCTGGTGTGTTCCCTTTTGTCGACCTGTGCCCTTGGTATAAAGCAGAAGGTGAAGATCTCTTAGCAGCAGCTCGCTTGTTAAAACAGTATGTTATGGCAGTTAAACCCCTCATCATGCTGACGTTTTCTGCCAAACCATCTGCTATCATAGCTTCCGGCTTCTCACTTATTTCTATTCACCGCTGGCCATCTAAGTTCTGGGACAGAGTGGGGCAATTGGAATTGGTCTCTTGCGGCGAATTTTATGGCATTCAGATCCCGTGCTTTCATCCAGGACAAGGTCGATTTTCGCTAGACCCAAGCGTTTTCCTCATTGTATTAGACATGACTTTGTGGGTCTTACTAACAACTATAACGGTCTTTCTTGATTCTGTGGAGCAATACGAAGGAAGAAGTCGGAAGGAATGGTGCGAGCATGTCAAGCTAAAAGTTGACGACACACTTCAAGACAAGAGATTCTATGAGCAATTTAGTCGGTTGAAGGCTAAACTTCACGCTGAACGACCGAACGCTAGCCCGACGCAGCTGTCTACACACACAAGACCCAGGATTGCTGTAGCAATACGAAAGGAATTAGTGAGTTGCTTACCCATCCCTCCTGTTAGATGCTGGCCATGTGGCACATCAACTGATGGAGCATGGTACGGGCTCATAGGACAGGGACATTGTAAGTGGGTTTGCTGTTGGCGAGAGGCTGTCAGACAAACGAAGGCAGCAGGTCTATAGGCTATGGAAAATAAATATACCTGAACTGCATGTACACATTGGTCGCGAAAACGCCAATGAATGGTTTCTATGGGCAAATTCTATTTCCGAAGGCAAGTCGCTATATGTGGATGCTCTTACACAGGCGGTATGGAATAGTCAATCTGACGCAGTCCAACATCGAAGCACCCCTACAGCAATGAAACTCGACCATTTTGCGGATAATAGCGACAAATTTCATAAGACCGAGAAACCTAGTGCTCTCTTGAAAGAATTTTCCGAAGTTCTCGCTGCGAACAAACTAAAGTCAAATTACTGGGTGTCGTCTGACAGCATTGAGCGAGCGGTTACCACGCAGCTCATGAAAGACACTAGATTTTGGGAATGGATCCATTCAACTAGGATATATAGCGAGCTCCCTAAGGACAGCTTTATTCGCTTCAGATCAACTTATCGGAGTCGGTGGAATGAAAGAGAGGTGTTTGTCTGGAAAAATTCATCCTTCGGGATCTACTGGGAATGCCCATCTGGGCAAAATTTCAGATTCATTATGCGCGCCCCTCAGTCTAGCCAGGATTCATCCTATACTCCTAGAAAATACATTTTCTTGTATGTGGTTTCCATGGCTCGATTGTCATTCACAGTCCCTATTGACCTGAAGGCTAGCACGAAAGACGGTATCGATCTGCGCGATGAAACCGGCAAGTCCTGTTTGGTTCGTCAGGGCGCATTGAACTCCGATGATGTTGTCACTTTCCCAGCTAGACATCTACCTAACTGCCAAGAAACAGCAGAGCTTGGGAGACAACTGGTTCGCCTATGGGAGGCAGAGACTGATCTGGATTGGAAAGCTACAGCTGCGGCATCTGATTCACTACAAAACCAAGTAGAAGATGAGGGTGGAAGTCATATCCCAAAAGGCTTTTTTGCCGGCAAGGGACTCGAGCTAGTAAGGCTCAACTGGAGCTCAGAAAAGCTTCAGCCGTATAGAAAACCACCCCAGCCAGCTGATGAAACGTGGCTACTATGGCTTTGCCTCCAGGAGAGCTGGCCCCTCGGGGGCATTGTTTTCATAGGCATTCCTGAGAAATGGCCGTCGCGAAAAGATAATATCTGGACACATCTTCAGGAGTAGGTTCTGATACTATGAAACAAGGATTCAGTTGTCTATTGCTGACCCAAGTTTAGCTTTTTAGCACGGCGCAAATACCATAACCACCCAGGAATTGCAGTAGTCCAAGCTTGGGCTCAAGATCTGTCCTTCACACGAAAGACTCCGCAAATGATAAAAAATATAGAGCTCCTCTGTCAAATACTCAGGAAGAGGAAAGTTCAAGAGAGAGACAGTGAGAGAATGAGACAAGAGGGGAGGGATGTGAAAATTGCTGGGACTGAGCTGGAGATCAGACATTTGTGGAAGAACGTGAATGGGAGGGCCATGGTATGAGTCCAAAGATCAAGGGTAGTTCTCAGAGGCCGGAATTGCGGACTGAACGTAAAACACAGTATTGTCGTAGCATGGACCTTTATGACTAGGGCTATGGTGTTCGCTGCTTTTTAGTGCTGCTTAGTGATTGAGGAACACATAGCGACCACGACCAAAGTACTGTAGTGATCTTAGGGTGAGTAATGAAGAGTGATCAGTGTATGTTATGCGTTGGGTTTCTTTCTATTTGTTGGGAAAGAGGGGGTGCATGAGGCATATGGAGAAGCAGATATAGCAAAAAGAGTGTGTGTGCAAAAGAAAAGATATAGAAACCAAAAAGATGTGAGCCCCACCCGATTTGAACGGATAACCTTTCGATCTGGAGTCGCTGTGAAATTGTTAGAATATGAAACGTCTGGATTGCGAAGACAGTGCAACTTACAACGCGCTACCGTTGCGCCAGAGGCCCAACTTGGTACGAGTCTAGCGCTTTTTTGCTTAGGAGAGGTTGTGGAAGGGAATTGTATACAAAAGAGAGGAGTCGGCCACGAGAAATCATCCTGAACAAGGGCACATCGTAAGATACTTGAAAAAGCATTGAAAAAAAGAAAAACAGAAAAAAAGAGAAAAAAAAAAAGGACTGCATGGTATTCTTTTCGAGTTCAGGGAAGGATGGACGTTGCCCTTTCTCTGCTACATACCCTTCCCTTGTGAAATAGGCTATCGAGATTCTCTTTTGAAGAGGACCAAAGATGTTTATGTCTAAATAGGCCTAGCGCTATGGTTCCTTCAAGATCTCAACCGGAATTCAAGCAGTCTTCCAGCGCAAAAAAGGCAAAAAAGATTTGAGCCCCACCCGATTTGAACGGATAACCTTTCGATCTGGAGTCGCTGTGATATTTGTTAGAAGAAATTCAAGGCATTGCTTGGCTTTTAAGTGTGTACTTACAACGCGCTACCGTTGCGCCAGAGGCCCTAATCGGTGGCGAATGTTTTGCCCTTTGGATAGAAGAGGGAGAGCAAAGGTACAGTACTTTACAAGTAGAGACAATTCCCCTGTTGTCACCCACCATCCCCTCCAGTAGCATCCTAATAGTCGCTGGCTAAATACCAGATAATTGAGATGTTTGACTTAAGTCAACATATAGAGATATCACTGAGAAAGTGCAACGCTGGCAAGCGGTTTCGATTGGTGGTCTCGTATTGAATGAGAGCAGTTAGGGCTACGAAGTATCGGGTCAGCCTTGACGAGAGAGAACCAATCTGGGTGTAGTAGCAACGGCCGAAAAATAGACATGGGTTAGTAGTAAAAAATGGATAACTATGACACCTGGTACAGACGATCCATGGATAGCTAGAAGTCCATGCAAACTAATGGGGCCTGGTAGACCTGACATCTCTGCTAGCTAGACAAGCTGACAGCCCGTGTGGAGTTAGTGAGTTGGTGCGTGGCGTTTGCGGGCTAGAAGAACAAACAGCATTGAAGATCCAGTAGCCTGATTCCTTTTCGTAAACCTCTCTCCGTCTGTAAAAGGAGCTGTGATGGGAATATATGTCTTTACGCTCCAATTCCATTGGTCTGATAGACTATGCATCTGCTGATATCTGCAATCACAGGCCTCCACGCTGCGGGAACTGTACCAAGAAGCATGTCCATTGCGAGTTTGAAGATGCATTGGACCGATAACCCCTGAACCTCTATTCGCGCCCGTCTCTATTCTGGAAGCACAGATTCATATTTTTGTTCTGTTTAATGTCAGCTTCAACGTCTCCTTGTCCCAGCTAGGACAGGACGAGGTGTCGAGTACCCTACTATTATCCTGCCAAACCGCTAATAATGCCGACTGCACAGAGAGCTGTGCCCAAGGGCCTGTTCGGTAGTACAAAGTAGGATAGCCTTTATTACAAGTCTGGCATTAATTTCATGTCATCTGTCACAAAGCAAAAATGGACATGGTCTGATCAACAGTCAGACGTTGAGTAGGGGGCCAAGTGAGAAAGCCTATAATGCGATATGGAGGCTGTCTATAGAAGACTGGAGGAAAATCAATGAATAAGAGAAAAATATTAGAGCTTTGGTAAGGTCTAGACCAAGCTATGTCGATTAGAGATGAATGGGCGAAGAACAGTCGGGCGTTTACTAGGGCACGGTAGAAGCAAAAAGAAAAAAGAAATGAGCCCCACCCGATTTGAACGGATAACCTTTCGATCTGGAGTCGCTGTGAATTTGTTAGAAGAAGTTCAAGATATTACTTGATTTAAGTGTGTACTTACAACGCGCTACCGTTGCGCCAGAGGCCCAATGGACGAGAAAATTGTTTTGTACTAGGTACTAAGATGGAACAAACACCTGCCTTGTACGCAGCGCAATATCCACATGCTACCAATCGCTTCATGATCAAGCCGTTTTGTATCTTAATTTTGGTAATTTCCGTGTTATTATTTTTTAGCCTTTTTTTCTCAAGTCAATTGAATCCCTTGTCCGATGCCAATGCTTTGATGCAAAGACAATCAGACGCAAGAAAGTATAGCTTGACACTAACATATCTTAATCGGAATGAGAACCGGACATTTCGAAGGTTGACTCAGACTAGTAGCTACGTTATAATAGTAGAGGATAAATACATATGAATAGGTACTGCAATACAGGAAGTGGTTGCTTTACTGCCTCTATACAGCGTTTGGGTGATTCGGTGCGTCCTGAACTATATATTCGTGGAGCGAGTGGTATATTTATTGTTCACTCTTCAATTACACTGCTATCATGCACAGCACATTCTGGGTATCCTGGTAATCTATTCCTTCTTCACGAGCACTCCTCTGTATCTCATCTTGCCATCTCTAAGAGTCTGCATGGCCTCCTCAATACCCGCCACGGTCAACGGGAACGTCATCACCGTAGGCGCGATCTTATGTCTAGCCACAAACTCCAGAAGAGTACGAATGCCCTTCCGAGAAGCAACCAGGGATCCCTGGATACGGACACCCTTGAAGAGGACATCCAGCATGGGAACAGGAGAGGGCTCACATGCAACCGTCAATGGGTAGATGCTGCCGTTGGTGTCCATGAGAGGCATGAGACTGCTCTGAGTTAGCAAATACCCGGAAACAGATATAAACAGGTCCAAGACCCAGATAGATCCTATCTGAGATAAGCCTTGGAAAGGTAACTTACGAAGGATAGCTAACGGAGCCACTTCCACACAGCAACAGATGCTTAACAGGCCTGAAATCCTTGATAGGCTCCCCGGAACGGAAAACATGATACTCGGAGGCACCATACTCCATTGCCTCTGCTCTCTTAGCTTCAGAGCTAGAAAGAACGACAACCTCGCAGCCCAATGCGACAGCAAGCTTGATAGCAATATGGCCGAGCCCACCAATGCCCATTATAGCGACGCGGTCGGTCGAGCGGATGCCAAACTCAGTGAGGACAGTCCAAACCGTTGCACCGGCACACATAAGAGGGGCGGCATCGACCGAGCTGACTGTCTCTGGGATGGGGTAGACGCAGTTGACGTCCCAGACGGCCCCGTAACTGAAGGTACCATTGTCAAAGTCGTGGAAGCCGTATTGCTTCTGGTTGCGGCAGAATTGGTCCCAGCCTAGGTTGTATTAGACGATTAACCCGGATAGGATTGAAGAACCACTTACCAGTCTCACAGTTATCACAAGATGTGCAAATGCTATGTGTGTATCCAAATCCAACACGGTCTCCCACCTTCACCGAGGTAACTCCGGGTCCAAGAGCCTTGATGATACCGATACCCTCGTGTCCAAGCACCTGGCCTGATTTCAGGTAGTGTTCATCTGTTCCGCAAAGGCCGGAATGTGTGGTCTCAATAAACACTTCGTTGTATTCTAGTGTGCGCGTGGTCTTATCGGCAACAATCTTGCCCTCAGGGGAGCCACGGAAGACATCGAATGTGACGTTCATCTTGTTAATATTATGATATGGTTATTGTTGAAAAACAGGTATCTCTTAAAGCTGATATAAAAATGAAAGCAAGAATAAACCTACCAACTATAGTTCGGGTCTGAACACCTTATGTACACCGACTCATCGAGCTCCATAACCTGGATAACCGTTGAACTCCACATTGTTCTCGGCGAGCAAAAGCCGACAGCCCTAATTTAGCATACGTACTATTTACCCATGCCATCCTTCATGTCTAGTGGATACGGAGCATGTTGAGATGAAGGAACGTTAGCCCGTGGACTCTGATCCACGGAAAAGTGGATATACCCGCCCTTCTGGGTACGCACTAGACTCGATACTGCAAATTTCTGCAGAGCGCTATCCACCTGAACCAACGAAGCGAACCTTCGAAAGTCTCCGAAAACATCACCAGCGGGGGAACTGAAAGTCCGTCGGCTGTTCATTCTGCAAGTTGCGATCGATGTGGTCTATAATGTCTCCGAGCGTTCGGGTGTTTAGAATAAACAATCATCTTTTCTCGGGAAGTCTAGCCCGGGATTTGAACGTTAGTGAGACCAGACAAAAGTTTTCGAAGCTAGACCGGGTTCAGAAGTTGATGGAACTACGAGCTTTGCTTGGAAGACACGATTGGATCTTTCGTGGTCATATTGGAAACTCAAATAATTTGACGTAAGATACGACATCCCGAAGATATGTCGCCGCTAGCTGCAGCATATGAGATTCGAGCATCTTCGGAGGTATAAACCACTGCGCAGTATACTTTACATCTTGGCAGAAACATGTAGATTTATATCCCGGTTCCACCGTTTGCCTTTTTTTTTTTTTTTTTTTTTTTTTTAGCTCAGACCCTGTGTATAGATGATGCAGGAAGAGCCTGCAATGTTTCGTGTCCTAACTTAGAGGTAAATAAAGCGACGGCGAATTGCCAAGCACTTGAATATAAACTTAAGACAATATACAGTCAACTCCTTTAATCAAAAGTCGGAGGAATGCTCAATCTACTCTGCCTTAAGTAGGTTGTCAGGGCTAATGGAGTATAAAAGCAAATAAATTGAGAACGAAACACTTCAAAAAGGAAATAATACAATACAAACGAGAGTAACAATTTGTTTCTAAACGAAAGACAAAACTCGTAAACCCGAAATAAAGCCTCAGCAAAGTAGCATTCTGGCCGTAAATCAAAACCAAGTCCAGACAACCTCAGACATCTCACCGAATAGAGCCCAAGTAGGCACCTCACTCACTGACTCCCATGATGCTTGATGACTTGAACATAAAGCCCATCCTTCTCAAAGCTCTCTTTAGGCCTTCGGGACTCTTGGCCAAATTGAGTTTCTTGATTGTCCATATCAGCCAGCAGGTTGTTAGCCTTCCTGATCAGCGCCGCCTGGACTTCACCGTCACTGCATTTCGTGGGAAGATCGATACTGACTCGTACCTGGGTGTACGAGTGCCGTGCAAAATCAACCCTCGTCGAACTATATTTATCGTTGAGAAGCTTCAAGTTCGAGAGGGTGAAACAAACGTCTTCTGGGGTCGGATTCTGCATTGTATTCTGCGCCTGCAGAAATCCTCGGCTCACATATGCCTGGATAGTGGCTCGTTGTGAATTCCCATGTTGAGACCATATCACATGCTGCGCAGCCTCCTCTCCTAGGGAGCTATCGAACTTCATCGGACCATTGACAACGTGGGCCCGTGGGAGTAGATTGTCCGAAGTCACATTATCGCTAAAGGAATGGGCGAAACAGAGCTGAAGAAGTAGTCCAAAGATGGTCACTTTAAGCAGGGTTTTCTGGACAATCCAGGCCCGTAGGAAGCTTAAGGATCTCATGGTGTCGACGGATAGGGCAATTGAAGAAAATGAAAAGTATTGATTTGGGTGACGTTGTAAGGGGGCATTTAAGACTTATATATCTTATCCCACCGACAACCTCTTTCCTGAGCGTGTTTCTAGATATAACACAGCAGACTGACGGGTTGGCAGTTTGAGATATTCAGTTTTCATTAATAAACCATTAGAGTTTCTTATAGTTTTCTATGGGATTTTTTTATTTTTCAATAAATAACCTTAGTTGATTAATTCAATGCAGTAATTTCTAAGACAAAGATTGGCCCAATCCCGTGTTGCAAATACACTACGCCTGTTACCAAAGCCTTCGTCCTCTATAAAAGGGGGTAGCTGCTGAGATATTAAACCAGAAGGCTAGAACATTGAGCTGGGATTGCCCCGGCCGCATCGTAATATGTCAGCTCCAGAGATTATGGACCAAGAATCAAGTGCAACACAGACTAGGATGTTAAGGAATCAATGCTATTCCAACATCGTAAGGTTGGTGGAACATGACCCGAGCACCGGGCACCTTAAGGAAATAAACCTTCTCTGAAAACTGCTGGTAAGCCTAGGGGCTAAGGCTCATAGTTGTAAATTGCACATTTTGGGTAATGGTACCAAAGCTTTACCTTCTTTGTTTTATTGCCTTAGTTGTTTTGGACCTAGCATATCCCAGTTGGTCGCCGAGGGAATTATTCAGAGCTATGGGCTCTGAGCTGGTTGCGCCGCCAAGCTGTCGACACTGTGTCCCTAGTCATATCATTCAAATGATGCTGGTCGTGGGCTTTGGCGGCATTTCATCAATTACTATGCATCTAATCTACTACGGAATGTACCTGCTGTCTACTAGGGCTCACCCGCCAACTGTGTTCTGAGAAACTCTCCTTTGCAGGTGCGAAATGTTAAGTATATCATATCCCAGTGGCACTATCCATCTCCTCTCCTTTCGCGGTATTTTGGGACCAATGTGTCCGTCGGGCGTTGGCGGGATTACTACCCTATTTTTCGCCTTCCCCAAGCTTGAACTGTACCACCTCGCACATAAACTAGCGGAGCATAGCCTATAGAAGTGATATAATATACAAATATATAGCAGCCAGGATTTGCTGGTAATTACCTATCCAACTACTCACCAGCCGGTGCAACATAGATAGATTGCTAGCTTGGGTAAGTGCCAGGAGTGATACCAAGCTGTAGCGGGCTTACTATAGATTTGTTTCGAGAGGAGTAATAGTTACTATACATGGCCAAGTCTTCAAGTATCTGTCTATCTCGAAAATGATATCACCTCTCGAACCCCAGCCAAGACCTGTTGAAATGGTGTATTGAACCGTACCCGTGGCAACAAAACCATGGCATATCGTATCGTAATTCAAGTTGTAAACGGTGGACCTTTGAATTCCCTCTTCCAGTTAACTTTAACACTTTTCAATATGGTGTCCCGATATACTATCCTATAATCACTGGACATATCATCTCTAAATCGGGGCTCAGGGGCCCGCGCCTGGAGCCTGAAAGCCACAGTCTATAAGCAGCTGCAAGACCTACGAGCCGATACAACAAGATTGCTTGAGCGCCTGGCTCACTATAGTTCCACCGAAAATACCAGCTCAATTAGTTCTTCTATACACGCAATATACAGGAAAAAACTGTCTTCAAGTCGTTCCCCGAGTCATACTCAAAGATCTTTGCGTGCTGGATTGTCGATCCCAGTGCAGAAGTTGTCAGAGGAGGTGCTTAGGACATGCAAGTTGTTCAGTGCATTGCGCCAAATGAAGATCCATGTGTTGGATGCCGCAAAGAGTATTGAGAGCAGGGTACAATGTGTCACAGTATGCCGCGGAGCAGATGCTTTGGTTTAGCAGAACATTGTGTTAACAGTTGGAGTCGCTTGTATACCACAAAGTATATGCAGCAGGAAGATCAGTGGAATTATCTACTAAACTGCTTCCCAGAGTGTCATATTTCCTAGGCCCCGATGTCCAATCATGCACAAGATTTGCACCAATCTACAGCATCTTTTCTTGCTCAGAATAAAAGACCAGATTTCATTTGACGTTTAACATCACAGATGCTCCTTCAGCCCTAGAAGATAGTTAGCTAAAATCGAGCTCAGCTGTAATTTACCATCTCTAGGGACAGTAAGAGACGTCCGCTCCGATTGATATTCCATTCTTTTTATCCGATAGTTACCGGTATTCGTATATATGCTACTACGCACAGTCATTCGAGAGCGGACTTTTGGCACTGATTTTTTCCTACTATTCTGGATATATTGGTATGTCCTGGAGCTTGTGCTGTTTGAATGCCTGCCACCTTCCCTCTTGAAACTCCAACGCCGCGGCTTCCCTGTAGAGATTTCGAATGTGATAAAATCGAGATCGTATCCCCATGAAATTTCTTCCCTTTCCCTCCTCATGTATTTGAGTCGTTAAGTATGCCTTATACATTCTTTCGTCGTTTTCCAGTGCTGAGGCACCTTTACTACCATCCCGCCCACCGCGAGTGGATCGGGATGATCATCTCCGGAGCGACAGCATGGTCTCAAATGAGGGAGCAAGCTGAACTCGGCCGGCCTCAAACACCTCAGGTGGTCAAGAGATCGCCGCTGAGTGATCTAACGCCGGAAGAGTTGATGCTTCTTTGCGTTGGATGAGTTCACTGCGGTGGGACAACACCCAAGTGCACTTGCGATTAAGGCGGTTACAGGAGCCATAGGGGCCTGTATTCCGGTGGACATCGTCACTCGCTTGTGAAGGCGGTTGCAGGAGCCATAGGGGCCTGCTTCTCGGCTGATCAGGTCCGTTGGTGTCCATGGTGCTTCGTTGTCCAGTACTTCGCGATCTATTTTGCTTTCTTGCTTTTGGGTGGGTGGGTGGGCTCGCTCCTTGCTTTAGTTTAGTTCTAGCTTAGTTTTCTATCATTAAAAAAAAAAAAAAAAAAAAAAAAAAAAAAAAAGGGAAAAAAGAAAAAAGAAACCGGGCCCGGTGGATGGGTGGTTGGGTCGGGCTTGGGAAACTTGAGAAGAGTGATTCACGGTGAGAGTATCTACACCCAGCAGCTTGACTCGCTAACCAAGTTCATATGTACCTTTCCCATTATCATGGCCACAGCTACTCCATCAATCCCAGTAAATGGGGGTTCGATTCCTTGTCCGACTTTGCTTCATCCCCGAGCGCGATAGATCAACACCGCCTCTGCCCTAGCCATAATGAGCTCCGCCAAAGCATCAGTCAACCGGCCAGAAACAGTCCGTATCGAATACCCTCTCCAAGCGGCTATCACCTGTGCAGTTGATGATTGACGGGATTGTGGATAGGAAGACGGATGAAAACTGGCGAGCTTGTTGCACCATTCTGGGACAAACTGGCAGGGATGGCCAGAGTGATACCTCGGACACGCTACAGATTACCTAGGTCAGCACATCCCTATACCTCTCGGAGGGTCTTGGAGGCCTGGACTCGCCCAGAAGCCCCGCGGACGATAAGTAATAATACCACTACTCACCCTGTGCATAGTTGAACTAACTCCCATTAGTGGCCCGGGCCCGTGTCTCGTGCATCCCCCAAGGACATCGACTCCAAGCGCTATTTATCGCACCGTAAATGACGATGACGGTGTGAACAGCAAGCAGAGCTCTTGATTCTTGTCCTCTATAGACGATGGATTCCTTGACAGTACAAAATACAAGGGGCTCCCCAACTTTCTATAGTAGTTTCTTTGATTATAGATTATCCCCAGACTGAGTTTTCGAAAGATTTCTAGATCAAGGCTCACGCTTAATATAACAGGTCCCGAGTAATACAGCATTGCAGCTCAGGCAATCAATATAGCTTAAACAAGTGATAACAAGTAAAGTTCCCTCCTGAGACACAGATAAAGAAAGATAATAGAAAGTCTGTAGAAGTTTTCATCGCAGCAAGCCTGTCAAACCAGTGTCGACATACACTTATATTTTTTATTCAATAGAGCCTTCAGCAATCGTTCATACTGATCCTCGGGGTAGGTATGTATGAAGATGGTCTCTACCCCATCCATATATTAGTTGCGCTGCGATCTTATACCCGTTTGCGATAATATCCCCGGTGAGGTCGATATAACATGTTTTGCAGAGAAATTAAGAGCCGGGTCTAATATCTCTTGCGATTCAGATATATGTGCTTTATCTTTAGCAAGTTTTAACCGAGCTAGCTCTTCTTCAAGAAATCCTATTCTTTGAAAATTGTCAACATGCGCCCTCCAAAGAACATGCTGGCCAAGCAAAATAAGACATGGCATCAGCCAGATTGGTGGTCGTTGGAGCGGCATTCTGGAAACAGTGATAAGAAAGAGATAATAGCCTTCTAAAGCTTCAGAAGAGTGAGCGGAAGTATGTTGAGAGAGATAAAATCTAATAGAGAGATTGTAGAACAAGTGTTGGATAGTTGAAAACTATCGCTGCAAAGTTTGCGGGAGATGAATTTAGAATTCGAGTCATTCATATCGCATACTAGCGTAATGGTGATGCCAGAATGAAGGCAAGGCAACCACCCATTCACATAACGATGCAGCCTGTAGCAGCGCTTCAGACAGTTTGAACAGGCCCCTGCAGTGCTCAACAGACATGACATTGGCATGAAATCTCGTGATCTCTAGAGAGTCACGGATGCTCTTGCTGGGAAGCAGATGAGATGAACTCATTAGCTTAGGTGAGAAACAAGGAAAGCCCAGAAGTTGCATACACAGCCGCCTGGAACTTCACTTCATCAAGACAGACCACACCTGTCTTGTAGTAAAAATATTTAGTTATTTATCTTTCTGGAGATATTCCACAAATAATCCACTATATTAAAGACTGTGAATACTGTAAAACCGTTAAATAATATATTATTTGTATTCTTGTTGACAGTAACACTGCCCGATTGGGCCATCTCCCGGAGTGAGCCCAGAGTAAGCTAAATTAGGTTAAGCACGCACCCAGAGTGAGCCTAGAGTAGCCTAAATCAATTATCCCACCACTTAATCATGCTTACCGCTTTTAAGCTTCTACAAAAATCTCGCTCTCTCCCCCAACCTATTTAATACTTTTTACCCATATCCAGACCCTCTGTACCTGTTATCTAGTATACTTAACCAGTGAGACTCTCTTGTATTGGGACAGAATAAAGAGACTCAATTTATTAGCTCCCTTCACGACTATCGCAGCGTTGCGGCCAGCAATCCTTCCTCTGGCAACCCTGCGGATCCCACCCACAGTGGTAAATAGTCTAAATTGCGCAGAGCTTCTCAAGGAGGATGAAGGCCTTATGAGTTCTCTGTTTACCTTCAACTAGAGGGTATCGTACGTCCACATCTTGAAATGAAGTAAATTTCTCAACATACCTCTTATTGTAACTATGTAAACTTATATAGCCCCACAGAGATATCTTCCCCTAGTCTATCATGACAAAAGTAGAAGAACAGTATTATTCATAAGATTCAAATATAAGTTAGAAGAGTAGCTATTATACGGCACATATATTATGACAGAACTATGCCTGTGTAGAGAGTGGCATATCCTCACACTCACCGGATCGGGAAAGTTTACTCATTATCCTCATCTATCCTCCCCCATTCGCCACTCTATGCCCGTATTATACAAGTAAAGAGATGCGGCCCTCCTTACACCCCAGTAACCTGGGGAATCAGGGGCTGATTCTGGTTCTTCGCCCGCTGGTTGGCCCAATTTTGATATTCGCGCGTGTACCCGCCATACCGTGTACGTGATAATCTATCCACTCGGCTACTCCTACTTTTCTCCCGCTTTATTTCTACTCCAATAAGATTATCAATTCATAATTAAACTATTTGATTTATTATATACTAACCTACCCTAGCCTACGGTTAACCGTGGTTAAGAGATTGATTAACCTTAGCCTAACTATACCTAGGTCAGTTAAGGAATTTTATACCTTAACCTAACCGGCCTCGGTTAGGTTAGGTTAGGTTATGCCACTCTACAGTGAACTGGTTTAGGACTTCTTGACGAAACCCCAGGCGTAACACTTGGTTAGATATAACTTATCTTAATAACCAGAATCTATTAGTAATTAATAACAATAACAATAATAATACAGTATATATCAAAAAATCGGGCGTCAGGTGATCAGATACGATACAAGATGCGGGGCTAGGCGTCCTTGCCATCAGCCTTGCCTTCTGAATTCATGAAGGGAAGTACTACTACCTGGGGGCAAGGATATACTAATTCCTACAACTAATCAGCTGAACAAGCCGTGTCGCATTCACCAATGGCGGCTTTAAGTCACCACCAACCTAAAGTGTGGTAGTGCCTACGCCTTTTGCTGGTGTCCACTCGTGGTTGTGATTTTGCCGTCACGCCCAATCTCTTGCTCACCCTCGCCCCCATTCCAACAGAGCCATCTTTAGCCTCTTGTTGTAGTCTCCTTTCGCTTGTTTTTTTCGCCTTGTATTTTCCCTACTACTTTCCGAGTGCCTTCTAAAAGACCAGACAGAGAAAGAGAACTCTTCTTGACACAGCGTTTCCTACGTTCTAGTACTCTCAAAATGAACCGAACATCTGACATTGGAGACCGCTCTTCTTGTGAAAAGCCAGGCCAAACGGCACCCGTCTGGTTTTTAGAGCGTTGTCGTCCAGAGGCAGGTGCTTCCCTTACTCTACCAATATTATGATCTGCTCTAAATCCCGGTAGATTTCCTGCGCGGCGCCAAACAATCATACTCGCAAGGGCCAACTTCTAGAACATGAGGTCAGAGACTGGCTAGAAGAGAATGTATGGATCTAATCTATACATATACCGACATGTATTATTTTAACCTGCTCTACAGTCAACAGTCGACCCAGCGGAGGAAAAGTATGGGGGAATACGCCTACTGTAAGTCCTGATCTGAGCTATTCTTGGCCCTATGGCTCAGACACAGTCAGCATGACCTCTCCTGCCTCTCATGACAGTCGAGCCAAATATCCGGATGGAATATTTGTAGATGAATTTGGGGGTGTTATAAACGGAACCGCAACAGATGGATTAGGCCTTGAAGCTGAGACTATTCAGTACCTGTCCAAACTCCTCAACCTCCCGTGGCCACTGACAACTCTGACCGGGTATTCGTCTGGACTTTTTACCAAATTTGAACACGAGAATAAGAACGGGGTGCTGGAAGGAGAAGGTATGATAACTTCACTATGGTATGGCTGTCTTTTTGGTTCTAGCTAGGACAGGGATTGTGATCCAAACACCACACTCCACGCCGATCAAGTGTTTGCTAGCGCTCTTCCACAACACTAAAAGCAATCTCACAACATGCTTTTTGTACTCTGCTTTCCCTATCCACCTTTTTCAGTTTCGAGATTTACTTCCTAAGCTGCTCGGGAAGTCCAACCAACCGATGATTGTCTTTCCCGTGGTTTTCCTCAAAGTGTACAACGAATGCATTGAAGGCTACCGAAAAATCCAAGAGTGGAACATTGCGTCTCTCGAGGAAGGGATTGGTCTGACAGACTATTACCAGTACAAATCGAGTAGTACCGGAAAGCCAAGAGACAGGATCAAAATGATTAACGGCATCTCATATGATCTTTCACGGTTTGAACTGTTCATTGACTTTGAATGCAGGCTCTATGGATTTCTTACCGACCTATGCAGCTCGTCAGGATCACGGCTCGACTTATCCAGAGAGCCAAACACCGGCGAGAAACTTAGAGAATGGCTTCAGCTCATAGATTGTGTGGCTCTAAGCCATAAACAAGCGGCGAGCTCCTATCGACAGAGGGTTCAAGCCCAGAACACGGTTGTAAGTGCCTAAATTACAGGTTATGGATGAAGTACCATGTAGTAATCTCCATTTTTATATATAGTTATATAGCCTGGTATCCCAAGCCGAGAGCCGTTTGAACTACCAGGTTGCCGCATCCACAAAGCAGGATAGTTCGGATATGAGAGCTGTTGCTCTGCTTACTATGCTCTTTCTTCCTGGGACTTTTGTCGCGGTATGACAGCATGTTGATCGATCTCGCATAAATACCGTTGGCAACTGACACTGCTCAGACCTTCTTTAGTGCCGGTCTAGTTACGTCCAACTCCGGCAGTATTCCTATGGCGAACAAATATCTATGGATATACTGGGTGATAACTGTTCCCCTCACTATTATCGTCGTTCTAATCTGGAAGTGCTGGTCAAGAAAGCAGACTGGACGGGCAAATAACTTGCTTTGTAATGTTAATACACCTGACCTACCTTTATAATCGTCGTCTTCTGGTGCGAAGGCCATTTGACGACTGAATATACCACTAATCACCTTGATCGTTTGCTTCTATATATCAACTAGTGAGAAGTTATATGCAAGCTAGGTTGAGTCATGGTGCTTTCTAGGATTAAGATTCTGCGGCGATACTTGGCAAGTACAGGTGAATAAACAACAACCAGCTACCTAAATACTTTTTGCCGGAAAATTGGTCGTCAAATTCATGTCTTCAAATGGCTCAGGCCCTAACAGATGACAAGTTAATGGTTGGCGGCTACTATATTTCAAGATACCGTGTATGATATCGACAAAATTACTGCATAAGAAGATGTCCAGATTTACCCCTCATTTCCCCGCTCGCAACCCCAATTCTAGTCGACATGCTTGCACCTGCCCTGGAAAAAGCTCCACTAACCTCCTATAGTAACCCTTTGGCTTCATCCCTATAGTGCTTGAGTGGTTCTAGCTTCTGTAGGCTTTGTTTCCTGCAGGGTTCGCACCTTATTTCGTGGTATATCCGTCCCCTGACGGCCTCCACCACTTATCCCTCCCGCAGCAGCGGTCTTTAAAGTCCAGACCGCGGTCCTAGGTGCATTCGTGCTTGCTACCGTTGGAAAATCCGAAGCGGGATTACACTTTTCTTCTCTAGCCCGTCCGTGATCGGCATGTCAGCGGATCCCAAGCGCGAGAGGCTGCGTACCCGACATGCCTGCCTCAACTGCAGGTCGGTCTTGCTCTTACCTACAACAGGTCTCACTCTGATCTTGGAATCTCACATATAATAGGAAGAAGAAGACCCGGTGTCCTGGTGAGAGGCCGGCCTGTTCAACATGTGTCCGGCTTAAACAGTCATGTACCTATATGGCCGCGGCTACGCAGCAATCTGTATGGAGAAACCCGCAGACCCTGTTGCAAGGGATTCTTTGTTGACCCCGTCAACAGGACCGATTGGCACACTTGGAAAAAAAGATAGATCTAATTTTAAACGGTGGCGAGCGGCGAGTCCCTTTTGAGCAGCTTGATCAAGATACCTTCGTCGCACCACCGGCCTCTTCTAAGGCGCCGCAAAACGACAATGAGACCACGCCTCGCTACAATCCAACAAATAGCTACCAACCACAGTCTGGTCCAAGCTATGCCATGAAAGGCATACCCTCAGTCGAATTGCAGCAAGAAAAGCTGGAGATTCCTCAATCCACCGTCGCCAAGGCGGTCGACCTTTACTTCGAACTCTTTCATAGACAGCCTATATGGTGCTTCGATCGCCAAGACCTTGAAAGCTACTCCGAGATTCCTTCAGAGATTGTCTGGAGCATCTTGGAACTTACATCACGATTCTCACGACAGCGTAACCAGCCAGGCTATAGCGATAGTGCTAGGCGCTCTATTATGCATCGAATTACAAATGGCACAGTGGAGCTCGAAACGATTGAAAGTCTTTGTTTACTTTCATACTCAGCATTTATAGGTATGGATCTGCTCGCTCATTGTTAGTTTCAGATTCTAATACCAAGAAGATGGCGATTGGGGTCAGGGTCAATTTTACCTTGGCCTTGGCTTTCAGCTTTGCCGCTCTGCCAGGATAGACCGCGAGCTGACATCCCCTGTTGACAACCCTCCCGCCGCCCAGCGCAAGAAGAAACTTCTCTGGAGCCTTCAATCGTTGGAGCAATTTTTCTCGGAGTCGGAAGGTATTCTGGGAACCGCACCTGAGGTTTGGCGCTCATTCTATGTTTCGACCAGTGCGGACTCAGCATTTCCCCGCGATCCTGGGTCCTCCACCTCATCTGATATCGGAATCTGGACTTATGCTGCATATTTCGGATGGGTGTGGAGTAGGGTCAGAGAATATGTCTCGGAGTGTTTCCATAATCAGATGACCGAACCCTGGCGACTCGATTCAATGTATGCCAAAGTTCTTGCCGATATGACCGAAATCGAGAACCAGGTTTCCTGGTGTCATCGATACGATTCTGCAAAGTTTTATGAGCGTCGAGCAGACGAGATCAGTCTCAACAGAGACTACTGGATACCGTGGATAAAATTACAGTTCACATGGCACACGAGTTTGATCGTGCTAAATCACCCATTTCTCTACATTATGGCGTCACAGCATCAGCCTAACCTGGCGATCCCAAACACCTTCTGGAGGAAGTCCTCCGAGCTGGTCCTACTGCATGCCACATGGATCGTTCGTATGATTGACATGACTCTAGAAAAACATATCAAGCTCGTTGACCCTTTTTATGCGCATGCGGCCGCAATCGCAGCTACAGTACATCTCTACTTTTGCTGCGCCGCCGATCCCCGACTGAAACAAAAGTCCAAAACAGACTTTGTGAAGTGCAAAACATTCTTGAAGAGGTTTGCATGGTTTTCCCCTGCCTGTGAAGTCCTGGTACGTTTTTGTCACATTGGATAGAGCGCAACACCCATACTAACATCTCAGCTTCAATCTCTGGACAAAATAACAGAAATATCATCTGGCTCAGATCGCATGGATGATGACTGGACGCCAACCAGAATCTATCTCAGCATCCCTTTGATGTGGGGTATTTTACAGTTCAATGTCTCACCCTCACCGGACATGTCCTCCAAACCAACGGCCCTATTTCACTCCTCTCTTACTTCCACCCCAGCTAGCAAGGAAACAGAGCATAGCCAGACCCTTGAGATCAGTGTTACAACATCACCGCCACAAGTGATGGTTGACCCTGCCGCAGGGCACAATGCCAGTCTGCCGCCTTATATGATCAATGTATCTTCATCACAAGATTCTCCGAACGGCACTCCAATGCGAGACATTCTGGTTCCACCTGCAGATAGTCTCATGTTCAATACTCCGTGGTTATGGGCGCATCTTTCCCAATTTGGTGATATGGACGCTGCAGCCAGCTTCGAGCCAGTCTCTGCCGTTGGCGATGGATTTTCCACCTGGTGGAATTTTGGAAATTTTTAAAAGTACTTTTACATGTTCATGCTACAGTGATTTATGATTCAAGTGTCCGGCGGCCATTGGAAGACTTATCACTGCGTCGAGAAATTGGGTAGACTTCCCCACGCATCAAATCTCTGATGGCATGAGCAAGCCATTCAGCCGTTGGTCCGACACTTGGCCTTTGGTTCCGTGGAGGGAAAGCAACTTCTCTGTCTAGAAACCAACAGCCTCCCCGTGCCCAGCGATTTTTGGGAGTCCTGCCATGGCAATCCTTGCCGAACCTGGTATTGAATCGCATGGACCAGCTGGTCTAACTGTTTCGGTGGAAATGCCGACCACATGAACGGTCGGGATCTGATTACCTTATTTGGAGAATACCTTATCATGCCATGAGTTTGGAAACAGGAGCAGACCGCAGATGCTGTCTAGTTATGGCTTATCTAGGCTGTCTTAGTAGTTACACCCCTCCCAGTGCACTAACCTATTGGTCATCCAAACTTCTGCTATTGTTGCGCACATGAACCAAAAGAAATCTTTACTCGACAAGAGCCTAGTATAATGCTGTCAGGATACTACTGGTAGTTACTAGTGAATAGTTAAATTTCCATTCTGTTAATAAGGCTGAACAAAAGAAGAATAGATATCAATAGACAAGAATCACGCTAGCCTGAGCTATTCTCCTGCGAAGCCCTCATAATTTCCTTAATCTCCTATGTCGAGGGAGGAAATTACCCAGATGAGTTCACTTCTCCAGTCACTTGGGCTCAGCCGCCACCAGAACCTCAAGTCCAGCAGGCCAAATCTGCTTTCCTGCATCCTTCTCCCGATCAAAGTGCTCATACAGAAGGTCTCGTACAACAGATTGGAAATATAGCGGCCCCTTCTCCATCCTGGGATGAAGCAGACCATTGACAAAGACACCCCTACCGATGTTCTTTTGTGCCTCAGTACAGAGATATTTATCTTCACTCATAATCCGCTTATACATCTCATTGATCAACTGGAAATCCTCCTCGCTGGAGTTTTTATTCCGGTACACCTCGTAGCGCATCTCGCAGATGGTAGGCGAGGTGGGGACAAATCGTTGTATGAAGAAGAAATGCGGCCTATTTCGATAGCCCTCGCTTAACGTTAACAATATGACATGGCAAATAGCATAATGAGCACTGACGTTACCGTCATGGACGCGTTGGGGAAATAGTAGGTGCTCGCGATCTTCAGGCCCCGTTCGATTTGGTCTGGTTTGGTGTTGGCAAAGTGAACGATAGACCCGTCCACGGTGTCAACTGAATAGGCTTCGAGATCGGCTATCGCTTGCGCGTCAGGATGTGCTGTCAGGCAGTGGTAACATCTATCACACGCAGTTAGGACTTTGAAAGCTTTCCATATCTGCTGAGACCAGGTCTAGAAGAATATATCAGGGACGGTACTCATTATAGTTATCTGCAAGAATCTTCCAGTTATACGGACCATCCAGCTCTCAGACGTGATCAAAAACGTAATCCTCGAAGTTGAAATCCTTCTCCCATGAGATCTCAGGCTGCTTGCCAGCGTCCATGTTGACCCAGACAAAGCCATTCGCATCCAGATGGACGTGGAAAGTTCTGAATATGGTGTCCTTAAGTCGCTCCGAGATTAGGGTCTGCGCGAGCTCGTCGGTGAAAGCATGAGACCAGATATCATGGAATGCCTGTATGTGTCGACCATGGCCTCGGACGAGAATGAAGGGATATCCTGCGCTATTGTAGCGAGACCAATTACCAGTGTTTGGGAATCGCAGTATATGTGTCATGAGTAACCATTTCTTGGAGAAAATGGCCCGTCGCTCGAGCTCGTACAGCTCTAGTGATGTGTACCATACAGCGGGAAGAGCTCTTACTGCGGTCTTCTCCGGAGACACTGGGCATCTGTTGTCATCTATGGTGGCTTTGAGACCCAGGAAATTCTTTAATACAGAGGCCATCGTATATAGGGCAAGGCTTGTTGACCCAAGATTGGAATAAGAAGGCGATGGGTTTGCATGCAAAACTGTGATGAGGAAGAACTTGCTCGTGTAACGAACTCGATATCATTTCCCTCCTGTACTATGCAGGTTTATATATCTACAAGAAAGTGGACATAGTTATCCGCTGCCGGTGACACCCTCTTGAAAACTAGTAGGATCACCGATCACAAGATCGGAGTGAACTAAACAACTGACTGCGCTGTTTTTCATGGCTGGCTTGGAAGTGCCTCGAATCAGCCACATCCAAGAATACCGGCTCACGGCTCAAGTGGCCGAATCTAGGGATGCCGCCAGGTTTATCGGCTCCTCTACCGATGAGAATCAGGAGTATTGCTGCTTATTATGGCCAATAATGGGTCTCTTATCCTCGCAATATCCAACGTTTACGGAGATGGCCACGTGAGCGGGCCGGACGCCGTGCCACTATGGCATTGTGATAGCCTGCATACATTGGGACTCATTCAGGAATTAGCTATTGCCTAGTGATAAGAGGATATGGAACGGTTCGATGTTGCAGTCGTTGGAAGTGCTGCGGCTTCCCAGGCCATCCTCAAACCGATCTGGTTTTCTACGGGCTTAGTTCTGTATATGATGCTCTACATTTTCCTAATTGAGCCCCAGTTTACCGCATATATGTAATAAGGTGACAGATTTATCAAGGCTTATATGGCAGTAGCGCTGCAGGAATGTTATAGAGGATGCCAATATGCCAATGGGATGAGTTGAAGTGCTTAGGAAACGCCCGCTGTAAGCCCCGAAACAGCGGAGATCAAGTATGAGAATATTAAGTAAATATGAGATCATCGATTGAGTGGACTCCCTCAGTAAATTGAAATCAATTTCATGGATTATTGCCTTATGGCGCGGTTGAACTTTGGCTTCATTCTCACCAAGATCGATCGATAGCACAGCGCCTAGCCATTAAGAATACATACAGCTGTGGGCTCAGATCTAAAATGTCATGGATATTCTCTTTTGAATTGGCCTTAAAACTTTAAAACAAAGGCAGGGAAGAAGAGCGAGGTGTGACGAATAAAAGTTTACAATATTCCTAAGCGTCATACCAAATTTTGTAAACGTCATGATTTTCCGAACCATATGCAGTTACCTATACTTACTATAGACTCGGTTCTATATGATCTCTTATTCCAGATAAACCTTTTCAGCCCTCGGTTTCTGTTGTATTGTGTACATTATTTCAAGGGAGCCCAGTTGCGGCAACCATTTGATATTGTTTATTAAGACTTTCTTGGATTACATGGCTGGATCATCTTTCTCCAGCAGCTTCTACGACTTAGGTTTCCAAGAGTCGTCACTTAAACACTGTCAAGCCCCCACAAGGCGACCGTAACTGATTACCTTTCACCACGTCTCATCGCTGCGAACAGATAGGATAGCACACACTCAACCATGGTTCTGGAGCCGAGCCTCCGGGACGTCATAACGTCGCTCTGGAATATTGTATTCGAGCTTAATTGGTCGAACCACTGATTGATAGGATCCTCCCTCTGTCTATTTACACTGGTGCTGTCTCGTACACTCTTCTAGACTGCAAAGCAATGGAAGATCTGGCCTATATAAACTAAGCTGTATACCCGTTGATTCCAGCCAATACCAAACTAAGGCGCTCTACAGGAAGTACACAGCCCTTGAGAGCTTGAAGCTAGCAGCCGAACATGTAAGCTTCCCTAGTACACACTATGCTCACCACTAAACCTTTAGACAGCCAACATGCTTCTTCGGTCTCTGGTTCTCATCAGCCTAACCGCCTTGGTTTCAGCACAATGCAAGTAGCCAACCACGCCGATAAATCATGATAGGCAATAAATAACTGCTAACATCCTGAGATATAGACGAAAGCCCTTGCGGAAGTGCTAAAAGCTGCATCTCGCTTTGTCCTAATCAAGACTTCTTCCCTATGGTCGACTCATGCAACACTGACAGCGACGGAAAGGTTGACTGCTATGTCAACTTCTATTGTGCTTAGACTAGCGGTCGCCTAATGAACAAATAATTCCAATCTCGTATTCAGCATAATCTAGGCGGTGCTATACATTTATAGGCTTTCCGATATTCTATACCCTTTATTAATCAAAAAAATAGACTTGGCCCTATCAATTCTTTTTAAGTTAAGCTATTTGATCATAGTTAGCTTAGGAGGTAGCGCAACTAAGGAAGCGTTATTTGTTTTTAATGGTAAGTTGATTAGGGTTTATTGAGCACCCACCAGTCAATGATGTATCAGAACTAAACAACACACCAGGTTGATCGCTGATAGGTTGTGGCCGCCTTTTTGCATATGGTACTTTTTCGCGCTTGTCCTCCACCAGGCAAAAGATTCTATCTTGAAGTGATTGTTCACTTTTTTAGAACGCTCGACAGACACAGGTGTTACTGTTTGGTTGTGCGATATCCGCATTACTTAGGGCACTTCATTGCCTACTGGACTAACACTTCTCTCTCCTGATATACTTTGCTGTGGGTTCAGTGGCGCACTGGGAGTAGCTCCTTCTCAAATCCTGCAATATAACTAGCGGGTTGATTTAATCAATAAAGCCAATGATCGGATCGCTCTGTTCCTGGAGGCTAACTGCATTCAGGGCAGCTAAGCAACAGCATTTCACGACGATCTCTCATATCCACTAATGGACGAGGTGTATTTCAAAACTCGTTGGGGGCCAAACCGCCCAAGCCCTTATTTTAAAATTGGCTTCTGTCCCAGAGTTCTCCACAAGCAACCTTGGCACTTTGCTCCAGAGAGCAAAGCGTACAGCCATGTCAGAAACCGCTAGACTCGCCAAAAGTTTCAAGCTGAATGGTATATACATAACTCAGCAGGAGGGGTCGCAAGAGGGCATAACGAGTCAAAGTTCTGGCTGGCGGCCTCTCTATCTCCGACGACGAATCTTAGGCATATTCGTGGTTACATTCTGTGGGATAATTGCAGTCCTCGAGGTGCTCAATCATATCTCGCAAGTCAATTATGGTATTGCTTCATCTATTGAAGGTCGCCACTACCTGTGGACCTATGGCCCCACCGCTATCCTTACCGTGGTGGCTGCTCTCTGGTCCCGAGTGGAATTCCAGGTAAAACAGCACGCCCCATGGCAATCACTGCAAGAGAAGCCGGAGGTAGCAGAGAAAAGTATTCTCCTGGATTATATTACACCGATACAGCCATTTACTGTGATCAAGGCACTCCGAAACAGACACTTCGCAGTGGCGGCCGGGGCCACCGGTTCTATGCTTCTTATTCTTCTCATCATCATCTCTACTGGTCTGTTTTCGCTGCAAGAAGTTGGTGTGCAGAAGGACAATGTTACAATTTTGCTGTATGATTATTTTAGTGGTGAAAATCCTACACTCGATGCCGAAGGAGCGACGCCATTCGATACGTTGAATAGTGTCCTCTTCGATAACGGAAGCTATCCCGAAGGGACTACGGCCAATCTTGCTTTTCAGCGATTTTCAGCTTCAAACATCTCTTCGAATGCGATTGTGACCGCCCAGATCGAAGGCATGGAGGCGCAACTGGGCTGCGAACCTGCTATTATAACTATTACGAAATGGGAAGTGGATGGAGTAATGGCTGCGGACGGCGAGTTCACTATCACTCAGCAGAATATGACCAACGAGATTTCCAGCCCTTCTTGCAAGATTGAAAACTTTGCTATTGATGGCGGCTATGGAGCATACTTTCCCTACGTGGGAATGTTTGAACAGGGTCAATGTGTAGGCGTGAAGGGAACTGACGGCACGCGCGTTGTGGTTACTATTGCTAAGATACGGGAGAACGTGGTGTTTTCGAATGACACTTATGACGATTATACTCGTGGGTATAATCGGAAAAGTGACATCGTTCTTGATCACTCGGTCCAGTTGATCTGCAAACCAACATATTCTCTCCTCGAGGTGAATGCTACAACCAATGCATCCGTGTCTCTGTCAAACGTTCAGATCGAAGAGACAAGATCGATGAACTCCACCTTCCCAGGCCTGGCGGCATGGGATATTGCGAATAGTGTTCTTAGTGGTCCGAAAGGCCATACCATTGGGAGACCAATTGAAGATAACAACCCCTTCGCTGCCCCCGACAAAATGAGTGTTGATTACTCGCTACAAATCGGTGCGTGGCTTGCAGGATCTACCGGCAACGTTGAACTTCTTTTCCAAGATGGCGTGCTTAATCATGTGGCTTCTGCCTACTATCGCGCAATGGCTGCCCAGTACATGAACAATGGGCTCGCTCGACAACGGTCCTCGACAACTGGTTCGGCTGTCATCCATGAGAACCGTGTCATCATGGCAGAGCTGCCACTCCGTGCGATGGAAGTCTGCTTGGCAATAGGTACTCTGTTGACCCTTGTTATAGTCCTTTTGGCTTCGCCCACGGCAACAGCATCGACGCCTTGGAACCCGAATTCTATTTCAGCAATTGCGGCAATTGTATCCAACAGCAAAGCTCTCCGTCAGTATCTCAGTGGGACTAGTGCATCACCATTATATATTCTTGAAGATCGTCTTAAAAAGAGTCACTATTGCTCACGGACCTCTGCAGAAGGGTTCTCTATCGAGACCGTGGACAACGAACAGATTTATAACGAACAGAGTGATATTTTCACTACTGACAAACAAAACAGCCCTAGTTCCAGCGCCGATTCGAAACCATTCCCCAGTTTCTTCTTTCGCGTCGCCATCTTTGTCACTGTGGCATCAATTATCGTGGTACTCGAGGTTCTTCTGCATATATCCGAGACACAAGATGGGCTTGCAGATGTCACCGCCAATAAATATATGCATTATTCCTGGACACTTCTTCCTTCGCTGTTGATGGAGCTCATCGGCCTTTCTTTCGGGAGCATGAGCTTCAATAGCCGAATCCTGGCACCATATGCCCTCCTGAAACGGCCCTCTGGTGCGGTTTTCCAAAACTGCATGACAGTCAACTTCCTAGATTCCCTGAGTGTGACGACTGTTATCCGTTCGATCCGCACCAGACACTTTGCTGTCCTAGCTGCGACACTCGCTGCCTTCATATCCTCGTTCTTATCGATTGTAACAAGCGGGCTGTTCTCTGCGATGGACACCTCGCAATACATCAGCACAAACTTCACTCAGGAAGACACCTTCCACCGCTTTGCAATATGGAACGCTAGCGTCAGTCCCGACCTGGACAATTCTAATGTTATCACCGCCCAATACATTATCCAGGGGAACCGCACTGCTTTCCCCCGCTGGACCTACGAGACGCTTGTATTCCCCAAACTTTCAATGGACGCTTCTCTAACAACAAATCTCCCCGAAAGCTCTTTTGTCGAGCTTTGGGTCCCTGCCCTGAGAACAGCACCAACCTGCCTTGTGCAAAGAGGCTCGGAGGTTAACTACACACTCCAACCAGCCACGGATGAACAAACCAGTGTTAACTCCAAGGTATCTCAAGTACTCTACATTGAACCCCCGCGCATAGGTTGCGCACCGTGGAGCAATGGCACAGGATGGGAAGAGGACAGCCGTGATCTGCTCGAACTCGAGACTGAAGGGTACTTTGGACTCGCGATCTTAAGCCCGTGCTATAACGCCAACAGCAGTGGCGCCAACCTGCCCGTGAGTTACTTCTGGGGCGAAGTTAGAAACAGCGCAGTCGCGAACATAGTGGCCATGACATGCGCCCCAGTAGCTGAGACAGTCAATACCTGGACTCGTTTTCAGCTCCCGGATTTCGATATTCCCGACGATCACCCTCCAGTGCCAGACGAGTCTTCGGCCAGCACGGTACAAGACCAGTATATACCGTACTCACCTTGGACAGGTACCTCTACGACGGCAGCCAATCTAGATTCTTTCTTCCAAGCACTGGTGTCTGGGAGGTGGGCTATCCCGCGGGATTATCTTGGCGATGCAGACAAGATAGAGAATGTAGTCAAAGCTATTAAATTCCAAGACGGCATCATGAAGGCGCAGGAGTTTAATGGAATGACTCGTCTGTCGAACGCTTCGCTGGGTGTATTATTACCAGGGAATGTTACTCTTACAAACAACCGTCTTCGGCTTATCCAAGATGCCACCTCCACAAGAGTCCTCGATGCTCTGCTTGCATCCATACTTATCCTGGGAATTCTAGGCTCCGTCCTCGTGAATACGGACCATATTCTACCCAAGATTCCGTCCAGCATTGCAGCGGTAGCGAGCTTGCTGGCTGACTCTAATTTCTTGGACTGGTACCAATCAACTGGCGAGGATCCAAATGATACGGCTCGTGGGCGCAAATTCTTCGCCGGCTCGCGGTTCGTTCTTGGACGACAGAATGCTGGGAATCTGTCGGACTCTTCCTCATCGCCTACGGAAGAGAAGAAGGATGTTGATCTCACTATTTGTCTTACTGATCCTGTTGGAGAGACAGAGTCGAGTAATGTACCTCTTATGCCATTGGCTATTGGATGATCGAGATTGACGCAGGGCCCTCCCTGCGCTTGGGTTTATGACTAAACAGATGAATATGACTTTTTACGTCTCTTATAAAAGACTTCAGTAAACCTGTGCTATTTTTTAATATGACACATTCTATCCGATCTTCATCAAAACACACAAGACCAAGTTAAGAACCACCCAAGATGTTGAGGAGCATGAGCAATCTAGGTTTCATTGCGAAATCTATAGGTCTAATGACTCACGCCTCATGCTTGTCCGTACGCTGTGTGCGATATGCGAGTAGAGTATTGCACTCGTTGCGTGAAAGCCATTTGTTAGGAGTCAGGGCTCGGAATGTTTCTATTCGCTCCTCTGGCTGTGCACTACTCTCTCTTATGTTCAATTCACATTTATATAAGTGTAAAATTCTTTGATTCCAGTGAGCTAATTGAATCTTCACTGGCCCATTGACTTTTTGTTTTCCTGTCCAAGATTTGACCTATACATTGGGTATATTCGTACTATATATACACTGCAGCACCAGAAGTATCTACGCACCACCTCTAGACCAATTCCTCCTTTCTCTCCTCAAGCCGCTGACCCTGACACACATGTCTGGAACTTCCTCGCCGGCACACCAACAGTAAACATCTCTTCAAGCTCCTCAGGAGTGCGGCCTTGCATTTCCGGCACACAGAAGAAGAGATAAATGCAGACCAACACAGAAGGGCCAAAGAAGATGAACCCGATCTTACCACCTAGATCGGCTTTATCGGGATTGATCAGGTACGGAATGACCTGGTTGACCATGCAGGACACGGCGGTTGCACTCATGATATTGATGGCGTAGGTCTTCTGCCGCAAGCGGGGCGTGGGGGTCTCGCCACCGACGGCGTAAGCAACGGCTCCTAGGGATCCTTGGTACTAAATTTACATTGATTGTTAGCTTCATCTCAGTGTATTATGGGAGTACATGGGTAACTTAAACTTACCAGCCATCCCCAGAGACACATCAGCGCAACTGTGGCCTTGAGCGAGGCGTCGGTGATCTTGATATTGACGCAGCCGATAATCAACAGGCCCACGGTCATAATTATTGAGCCGTACACCAGCATAGAACGTCGCCCAATCCGCTCGATCAAGGGCCACGAGCACATGTTACCGAAAAGCTGGATGGCGTAGGCGCCTTGCGCGACGGCCAGCGCGTTGCCCACGCCGGCGAGGTCGAAGTAGTAGGTCAGATAGCCAGACACGAAGTTGACCCCGAGGAACTGCTGGGCAAGGTACACCATGCAGATGATGGTTGTTCGGCGGAGGTTGGGCCCCCGGAAGCAGTCCAGATAGCTGGCAGAGCTTTGTGCTTCCGTCACACTCTTCTCCATCTCCATGGCGTTGCGCATGATCTGCAGCGCCCTGTCGGCGTTGAACTGCGGGCCGTTGAATCTTTTCAGAGCCTTGTGTGCTTCTTCGTCTCGGCCCCGCATTAGGAGCCATGTTGGTGATTCTGGGAGTAGAGGGAGGCCGATGATGAACAGGAGCCCTGGCATGATTATTTGAGTGATCAGGGGGATCCGCCAGGCGAGATCGTTGTCTCGGAACGAGGCGGCGTAGATGCAGAGAGAAGATAACCACTGTCCGATGACAATCATGGTGTTCTAGCGCAGGTTAGCGACCAACTAGTTATTCTGCATGAATGGGCACTGACAATCAGAGCAAGACAGATACCGCGAATCGAGTTGGGTGCTAATTCCGCAACCCAGACGGGGCCGAGAGAATGTCCCAGACCGAAGCCAAAGCAGGCGACCAGTTTCCCACCGAAAAGCATCATCACCGTCTCACTGAAGTATTGGAGGATAACACCACCGATGCAAATTACGCATGCCAGGATGACCACTTTCTTTCTGCCAAGGAAATCTGAAAGGAAACCGGTGGCAAGCGCCGAAGCAAAGAGGCCGATAGTGGGAGCTGCGTTCAGGATCTGTTGATCGCGAGCCGCGACAGTCCAGCTGCCATTGACCTCCACCCCGAATCGTAGCTGAAAGGCACGAGAAGCGAACAGGTTTCCGATCATCGCATTCTCGTAACCGAAGTTGACTGGAAGCAGGAAGATGAGGAGGCCTGTATGCTATGTTAGCGACTCTTCGATCTCGTCCAGCACTGTTGTACTTAGATAGAGCTAAACAGGTTCAACATACACCACAGCAGCACTCTCCTGTTCTGCCATAGTTCCTTCCAAGTGGAGTTCTCATTGCTCGAGACAGCTTCATTGCTCCCCGGGATAGTTTCGATATGGTTGGCGAGGTCTTTCTCGACCTCAACCTTCTCTGACATGATGATGGATATGCAATCGAAGAGACGACAAGCAGAGGTAGTAGGTGATAATCATCGTAGGTGCTAGTGGCCAGCCCATATTATATCAGAATGGCGAGACTCTGGAGAAGTCCGGGGAGAATCTGGGGAAGGGAGTCGGACGCTTAGGACTGCCGTGTCTGGAACCGATGGGTCGTTTGAAAGCTTTCAGCTGGAATGGGACCCACTACCTTAAGCCGCCGAGCTCAAACGGGAGAACTAGAAGAGACGAAAACCGAAAATATGAAATTGTGAAGCAATTCGCCGTGCTGATTTAGGTATAGTGAACGATGTCTTGCGACGGGCTTGCGAGGATTGAAGATTTATTGCCGACCAAAGAGTTCTAAACGTGCAGAGATTCAAATTCAGAAAATAGAACGGAAGCCTTCTTTCTACGTGCAAGCTGCTTCATAGCAGTGATAGAAATGCCTCTATGTGTAATACTGAGGATATCGTCGCCCATTGCATGGCAGAAACAGTAGGGTAGCTTCGTCTTTGGTCTATAACAGCTGTCAAACAAATATCTATTATAACTCGCCAACATCATCCATAAGTCTATATTCGTCAAAGGAGTTAACGAAATTGCGCCTTATTAGCTTTTAAATCTCTTCTTCATGTTCTTATATCCCAGCTATATATCTCCACGAGACTCCACAACTTCAGTAAAGGTAGAAAATGACTCCCCGGTTCCGCCAAGGAGCTTAGGGTTCGTCGTTTGAAGTATAACCCTTTTATAAGTATTCATTCTGGGGACTCCATTGTCTTGCAACTGAAGAATGAGATGGAAAGCCTGACCCTTCTCCACGGCCTGGCCATTGACGAGATCAACCGCACACTCCGCTGGTGGAGGAATCTTCACGCGAATGACACTTCCTCTGGGCTTCTGAGCGTCCTCAACGACGTCCCATTGTAGATCTGGGACTATCCACTGAATGTCTTGTTGTGCCGACGTCACCTCTTTGTAAAAGAACCAGGTGAATGTGAGCTCATCACCATCCGGATCGTAACTCTGCGATGCATCCAGAAGAACCTCGGATCCCGCGACAGGCTCTAGAAGCAATGGATCAGGCCCCGCATTACTTTCATTTACGATAGCAACAGGAGCATGGTTGGCTTTTGATCTATCACTCCCCAAGCTCCACTGCATACGTGCCGCAAAGTCATCCTGAAAATGATCCCTCCAGCGCCAGATAGTCGCCTGGTTGCTGGTATGAGATTTTCCGTCTTTGCCGACGACTGTGTCGCGAGCATCGGCGTAATGCTTTGAAGCGCCTCCAATATCGCTGAGAGCGTAACGGCCGCCCCAGCTTCCCCATTCCGGGTGCTCCGGGGAACCTAACCCGTTCTGAATGAGATACAAGAATGTCGGTGTATCGCCCTCCATAATAAAAGAGTACGTTGGGTATGCTTGCCCCAAGGGCCCGATCTGAATGTGTTCTCGAAGCCACTCTTTCTTCACCTTCGTGACGTCCGGTCCCCCTTCATCGAATGGTACAAGCGCATCCCCGGATATGCCGATCCACGCCGCCATGCCGTACTCCTTCCAGGCGTGTACAGAGCAGATGTAGAAAATATCCGGGTATGTGACTCGAATCCACATCCCTGTATCATCTTGGTCGGATATGGTGTACACTCTCAATCTCGACCGTAGTGCAGCGCTCTCGGTCGCCGAACATGTTTGGTGTATATGCTGAAGTGCCTGCGCGAGGACATTCGCGCCTCCCCAAGAAATTACCCAGAGTGGTTCTTCTGAAGCTTTTAGCTGTTCGACTAGAAGCTCCGCGCCGGAGCTGAGAGGTACGCCGGGCGCAAGCGCAGCTCGGCCGTAAACTGGAGGACCGCTCTTGATGATAGAAAGTAGATATTCCGGGCTGGGATACGGGTTGCTGGGATGAACGTGGGCATTGAGATTGTCGACGACCTTTGCATAGGCATGTACAATTCTCTCCATGCTCTCCGGGGAAACCTTCTGTCTCAGCCAGCATGATGTACATGCCACTATCCCTCGGGTGTCGAATTCATTGCTATAGAGAAGATATCTGACGAGAGATTCGTCATCGTCGGGCTCGTTCGAGATATCGGAGAGTATAAACACCCGGGGTCGATTTTCGCACAACCGAAGTTTGGTAAGCTCAGCCATGATGAAATGTAAGAGTCGTCCAATAGATCATACAGCAACAGGAAGTGTCAACAGTGACGTTTAGAAGATACGGCCGGTAGCTGCTCGATACTTCTGTTAAACAGGGAGTCCATAATTTCTTGCCAAAACGGCAACTCGAGGCACCAAATGCTACGCTTGAAACCTTCTCTATTTCGTCAAATGGCCTTCCACTAGAGACAAGCCGGCGTACTACTACTGCTAGCTTTCTCCACGTTTCTTCCTCCCCGGGGTAATTCGCGGGGACAAGCACCGAGCCGATGTCTGGCTTGATGGCCCAGCAGCCACGCAAGTCAAGTTTTCCCGAACTTTACCCGGCGGCAATGATGCCGAGCCCTAATGCCAAGGCATAGGTACGGGGTTTGGGTTGGCTCAAGCTTGCGTCCTGCCCACTGAAGGCCTGTCCTCGCTTCTACGGGGTAAACTCAAGTCAAGCAGTAGGACTGGCTGATGTTTAGATCCAGTGGAGAAGAGTGGAGAATTACGGGGTCTATCTTGGGCCCTGGACTACTATCACAAGTAAGGTATCGGCAGTGAGGCCCGGCTTTCCGGGGGTTCAGAGTAGGTGCAGTAGACCATCTAGGGCTACTACAGGACGCTGCAGAAGGAGTTGATAGGGTCCAGTTATTGCAGCCTATAGGGGTGGCACTTGAGTACGATCCGATCCAAAACATAATACTTGTAACTTGACCTTCCTGGGTGTTATTATGATGCCTCTGGCACTCATATCCTTTTGTATAATCTCGTGCACGTGCGGACAGGATCATGAATGAACACAAGTAAAGGAGGGCTTAGTAGCTTGCGGTGCATCCTAAGCAACCGCTTGGTACCCTCATTGAATAGATGTGTTCATCAATAAAGGTCATAGTCGTTTGTGCCAGCCCGCTACTCTCAGGAATATATGCACCGAAATCCAGATTTACTCTACTAGTCTACGTTGTGGCCATGTAGGAGGTATGAAATCTTGAGTCAAGAGGGGTATGCGCATATAATATCGTATTTACTAATGGCACTTGACAGTGCGATGTTTCACTTCTCGGTCCTTGAAGCCTTCCCTGTTCCCCCTGTTTTCACCTCTTTCTCGAGTGTATCCAGCGCTTGTCTGTACCTCGATTTGACATCCTTCATATTGTCAAGCTTCATCGTCACCTTTTGTACTTTAGAAGACCTGGTAATTCTGTTGTCAGATGTTTGGATGATCTCCTTCGTGAACCACCGGCCTTCCCGATGCGCAACAAGGGTCCAGGCAGATCCCTCCCTGCCAGCTCTCGCGGTACGACCGACACGGTGCACGTAGGTAGTGATGCTTGTTGGGACATCGTAGTTGACAACGTGAGTCAAGGATTGCAAGTCAAGACCACGAGACGCCCGGTCAGTAGCAATGATGATCGAGATCTTCCCTTGACGGTAAGCAGTAAGCGTTTTCCGGGAGGCTGATGACTTGTTCGACTTGATGATCGTTCCAATCTCCTTGGCCAAGGATGGATCAAGCAAGGCAAGCAAGCGCGCAAGACGCGAGGCGGATTCGGATGACTTGGTAAAGATCAAAACAGAGGCTCGCGGGCGACTGTTATCTGCTTTGACGTCCACCGATAGTTCACCTTCAGATGCTGAATCATCTTCGGAATCGGAACTATCGCTCGACGATGAGCTGTCGTCACTGGAAGAGTCAGACCCTGATTCTTCCGAGCTCGATTCGTCAGAGCTAGAAGTGTCGGTGTCGGTGTCAGAATCAGAGCTTTCTGAATCGGAAGCCGAATCCGAGTCCGATTCGTCAGAGCTAGATTCTTCAGAAGACGAACCCTCCGAACTAGTGTCATCTGTATCGGATGTGTTTATCAAAGCACGCTTTGTGTTCTTATTCACATCCACCTTAATGTGCGACAGAAGGAGACGCAGGAGATAAAGTGGCTTCTGTGACCCGTCGCCAACCGAGAGAGAGCACTCCTTCAGTCTAGGCGGCAGAGTGTACTGATCGCCAGCGCGATCATGAATACCAGTTTCATCCTCCTGGGATGTGGCTTGTTCAGCAGAGCCAACAATAACCAGCTTAGGATTCGAAAGTCGTAGAGAGTTCAACTTCGAGATATCCTTCGTCATGGTGGCACTGAGGATCACCTTTCTCGGGTCTTTGGTTTGTATCGGAAGCCCAAGATTGGCGAGGAACTTTCCGCTAAATCCAAAAGTCTCCGCGTTCCTTCTTGCGTCTAAAGAGTTCATTACAACATCAACCCATTCCTGGAAGCTCTCGTTGAGCAATCGATCGGCTTCATCAATGACGAGCCACTCAAGATGCTTCAGGGTGAAGCCTTTAGTATACCGGATATGATCGACGAGACGACCTGGGGTACAAATCAGAATATCAACATTGGGTTCTGCCTTGCGAATATAACCCGGCAACGATTCACTCTGATCTCCTGCATCTGAGATATAGTCTTGTAGGCTAAATTTCAACCAGTCATTGTCCGTTAATTTATCCTGCTGTCGCAGTTTAAAGTTCTCTGGGCCGTAGACTTCATCAACGCGCATTAATGAACGCTGCTCTTCTTTGATGGCCACATTTCCGACAGCGGAAGCGACACGAAGGCCAGACCCAGCAGCGCAAAGCTCGCATGCCTCTCGAGCTTGTTTAACTAGTTCTCTTGTGGGCACGACAATGAGGCCTCTTAGCCTAGGAGCAGGGACTTGCTCTAGAGCTGTAACCATGGGCAGGACGTATGACAATGTCTTTCCCGAACCGGTGGCTGCAGAAATACATACATCCCCTGGGTGATTCTTAGAACCCTGCAAGAGTAACGGAATCACAGTGGACTGGACCGCAAACGCTTCCTTGTACCCGTTGTTTTCAAGGATGCGTAGGACGTTCTCCTCGATCCCTAGGCTTGAAAACGGGGTTTTTTCTTCAGCGGAAGTCCTTAACGGGTTGGCAAGCCACGACGGAAGGGAGGAATAGCTTGGCTTCTCATCTTGCTCAGGGGCCGCTTCTGGCTGAGGCAACGGCTCCAGGCCCTGCGCTATAACTGGTTCCGCAGTTACAGGTCCGGTAGACTCATTATCGACATCTTCTTCGCCAGATTTTGCCCTGGCCGATTCCGTCGCCTTAACCGCCTTTTCAAATTTAGACAAGATTCCCGAGTATTTGTTCTTTTGCGGCTTTGCATTATCTTCATCCTCTGACATAGCGTCTATATCCTTCGAATCCACGTGTTTTTTCACGGTGCGTTCCTGGTCACTGTTCGGTTCTTCTATATCTGCAGCATCCTCAGACGAACCATGATTGTCTCGCGACTCTCGTTTAAGCTTCTTTGATTTCTTTTTTGTTTTATCCTTGCTGTCATTTTTACTTGTAGAAGCCTTTTTACGGCTGACCGGCGAGACAGCACTCTCTTCCTGGGACGATTCTTCTTGAAAAGCACCACTGGCAGCTGATTCGGATTTTCTTTTCTTTTTCCGGCTTTCTTTGAGGGGCGTAGGGGTGGACGAAGGGCTCTGGATTTTCTTCGGCTTCTTGGTCGGCGTTGGGGTCGAGGTAGGGACGACAGAGCCATCGGGATCTCTCTTCCTCTTTTGGGATTTCTTCGCACTCAAGGGTGTCGATGAACTCTTCTTTGAAGATACATCATGCGCAGAGTGGTCACCAGCCATTGTGGAGCGTGTCAGCACACCACCTGCGCAAAATGCTGTCGCTCAACAGTACTTTTCGGTGTTTCGAAAGAGATTCTCCGAAATATTTCTTTCTAGCGGGGATTATTGCGTCGGCAGAATATCCACACCGTCCACACCGCCGCCAGGATCTGGACCATTTGGGAGATAACATTGGTCGATCCACTCCGGCGCAATCGACCGCATGCTCCAGAGATGGCGGTTATACCCCTGGATATAATGACATCCTGTTTCTAAACTGATAGAGTCCGGACATGGACAAACCAGTGGATTATGATACATTGATAATTTCTAGGCTTCTAAGCTAAAGAAATAGCCACCATGCCTTACAACATTGCGTGAGTTTCGTCACATTATCTGCGCTGGGTGATCTTATCTAACAGCTTTCTGCGCAGTATGGTCAGTGACTTTTTCTTCCCACAACCAGGTGGGATTGAAAGTCACATTTACCAGTTGTCGACCGTAAGATATCCTACCATCTTTGTCCGGATGGATGCTCATCGGCCCTCAGAAGCTCATCGACCGTGGCCACAAAGTCATTATCATAACCCATGCCTATAAGGGTCGCACGGGAGTTCGATATCTTACAAATGGCCTCAAAGTATACCATGTCCCATTTCTCGTCATATACCGCGAATCGACTATGCCAACTGTTTTTTCATTCTTTCCTATATTTCGCAACATTGTCATCCGCGAGCAGATTCAGATTGTTCATGGTCACGCAAGCTTGAGCAGCTTCTGCCATGAAGCTATCCTGCATGCCCGGACGATGGGTCTACGGACAGTCTTTACTGATCATTCACTATTTGGGTTCGCGGACGCGGGCTCAATTCTGACCAATAAACTGCTCAAATTTACCCTGAGTGATGTGGACCATGTCATTTGTGTCAGCCATACATGGTAAGAACAAGCGGTTGGGTTGACTATAGGTGCCAGTGTACCCCGCGGCCATCCTATAGGCCAATGGCACAGGAATTAAACTCAGAGAACCATCTGCTGACTTTGCGGCATAGTAAAGAGAATACGGTTCTTCGAGCATCTTTAGACCCGTTAATGGTCTCCGTCATCCCCAATGCGGTCGTCGCGGAAAACTTCCGACCTCTAGAGCATGAGGGACCACCGAGACATATTGGGCCGAACGATATTATCACTATCGTTGTGATCTCGCGCCTATTCTATAACAAGGGAACTGATCTGTTGATTGCTACGATTCCAAGAATACTTTCGTCCCATCCGAATGTGCGGTTCATCATTGCCGGATCAGGGCCCAAGGCCATCGACCTAGAGCAGATGTTAGAGCGCAACGTGCTTCAAGACAAAGTGGAGATGCTCGGTCCTGTTCGTCACGAAGAAGTTCGAGATGTTATGGTCCGAGGTCACATCTATCTACACCCCAGTTTAACCGAAGCCTTCGGGACTGTTCTTGTGGAAGCCGCTAGCTGTGGCCTCTATGTGGTGTGTACGCGGGTTGGTGGCATTCCAGAAGTGCTCCCCCAGCATATGACCACTTTCGCTAAGCCGGAAGAAGATGATCTTGTCATGGCTACTAGCAAAGCCATAGCCGCGTTGCGCTCCAACAAAGTGAGAACTGATCGATTTCATGATCAGGTGAAGATGATGTACTCCTGGACCGACGTGGCACAGCGCACAGAACGTGTATACAAGGGGATTCAGGGAGACATAAGCCCTGAAGAGTTTTACGGCTATTACCCCGGCCAAGGTTGGGAAGCGAGTGGTGATAGGGTACGGAGCTTTGCCCTCATTGACCGACTGAAGCGATACTACGGTTGCGGGGTGTGGGCAGGCAAACTGTTTTGCCTTTGCGTCGTCATTGATGTCTTGATCTATGTCTTTCTAGAGATGTGGTTCCCCCGCGCGAATATCGATATTGCTCGCAGTTGGCCAAAGAAGCTGAAACAGAAGGAAACAGCCGACTCGACCAGAAACGGCCCACATCGCATTGGCTCGACGACTTGACCTGAATAACACTTTTGTTACGATTCCTTTGCGCGACATGTGATGACTTCCAATATGGCTTTTGATTCCCTCAAATTAACACTGTGATACCCGTGCTCATCATAATTTATAGTACATAATATAAGACATTATACCAAATGGTGTTGCTAAGACTGGAATCTCTGTCTCTGGGTCTGAGGCTCGTACTTCCATTCCGCGTCCAACGTTTCCGCAGACTCGGGCTGCCTATCCTCAGCAGCCAACGCACCCTTATCCCCACGCTGCCCACTCTGTGCTTCCTCACGCTCCAGTCCGCGCAGGCCGGGAATCTCGCGCTCTAAGCGGGGTTCCCTGCTTGCTCCGACACTCTCGAGGCCACCACCGGGGTTCTTCCGGTGTTTTTGTCCGTCATGATGAAGTTCTGCGCTCGTTTGGCCGCCTCCAGGGTGGCCTAGACCGGTGTGCATATCCTGGGAGGTAGCTCCCTGCAAACTCTGTTCTGCAGGTGTTTTTACAGGTCCCTTCCCGTCAGATCGCTCAACATCGGGATTCTGAGCCTGGCTTCCCACCTCCGACCGGGTGCTGGGAGTGTAAGAGTTGGAAGCGGGGGCAGTTCCAGGAGGGTATGTCTCTGCGTGGAATTCAGGAACATAGTCCTTAGGAGAGACCTTGCGACCGGGTTGATGCTATTTTGAAAGGTTAGCCAATGGCCTTTGAAGATATCGAGCTCAGGTGCACATACGCCCTTGTCTGTGAGAGGTTTGGAGTTGCCAGCACTAGGATGGAAACCCTGCTTAGGGTTGTTGTCGGAGTGGATCTTGTCAAGAGTGGCCATAATGAAGGTCTTGGATTTGGTCTTTGGACAAGGTGTGATGGAGTAATTCGAGACGTGATACTGGACAGACTAAAAATTTGGCAGTGATTGTTTCTTTACTGTAGGAAAAATCCTTTTACAGTCGATACTTTCTTATAACCCTTCGGATAGGTATATACAACTTGGTTGTTGCAAGCCAGCAACCCTATGACGTCAAGGCTGATGGAGGTTGACTTCATACTTAATTCACCACCATCGATGTCCATGATTGTCTTCTATCAAACAACGGGTCTAGGGCGTCGCACACCACTGTCACTCTTCCCTGTAAATTCTCGTAACATGACGTCGCTATGTTTAAACGGCGAGCTCAGTCGTGGGGCTGATCGCGCGACTACAGCGAAGGTATATCGTGCCAATTATAGGGCAATTACTTAGAACATCCAGATGCACATTGACCATAGGCATATGACTTCATCGACCGTCTTGAAACCGCGCCGAGACAGTAGCATGTACAGGTGGCTTGTAGGAGACATCGGCTTTCGCGAAACATTATGTGTCATTGAAAAGTACATTCCATAGAAAGTATCTAGCACATGAAGAAAGTAAAACGATTAAACTAAGGTATCTTTGCGTGTGAACAAATCCTCTCTACGCCATTAACAAGCCCAAATCCAATCAGATCTAATATCAAGGGCACCAAGCAAAATCTAGAGGCACCTATTGCTGACCGTCTCACGAAGTCAGCCAGGTACGGGGGACGATCTCAGCTCCAGTCTTACATGGAGCTCTCCATAACTGGCATAGCGTATCACCTCATCACCGGAGGCCTACCCTCTTTATTCCATTTGACTCGGGTTTGAACCCACTCCACAGCTTCCTGGACTCCTGAGCCCAGGAGCGCACTGACGGGTAAGACGCGACTGTCGCGCATGGCGCCTCCAGATTCTCCCTCGAAGACCTTGCGCACAAATCCCTCCTTGATGCGAACAACTTCTACCGAGTCTTCTCGATCTTGTTTATTTGCTAGGACCAGAATCGGTACACCCGCAACATCCGAGTTCTTTAACACTGATTCTAGCACTTCGCTGCACTCGTCGAGTCGACCAAAGTCGCTCCCTGGCGCATTAATGCCAACCGTCTGTTCGGTGAACGCATCGGCGTTACTCCCCGATGCAGTACTGGATCGGCGATTCGAAGGGAGACGGGCGATATCTGGGTCCTGACCGACGTCGGTGCTGTCGACGACGAAGATGATCGCATGACAGCTTGAGTAGTAGCTTTGCCATAAATTTCTCATCGTTAGTTGACCCCCAACATCCCAGATCTTCAGGTACATTTCCGGGAGATTGATGGTTGCGACATTTTGGCCGACTGTAGGCACGGTCTTGCCGGGGTTCGGAGCAGGGGCGCCGTCGGGACGGGGTTGGTAGAGCGCCTTGATCTGCGAGAGGAGCGTAGTTTTGCCAGCGTTGTCTAGCCCGAGAAGGAGGACAGAATATTCTACATGGTACATAATCAGTAAGCAGTGCACATGGCCTCGCAGCGCATTGTCTTACCCTCTTTGCTCGTAGCGTACATATACAACGACTTAGCTAGATGGTACATCGTTGCGAGTCGGCGGAGGCCGGAGCCAACTCCTGGGATCAGAACGGGCGTAACGAGAGTCGGAATAACGGAATCATGGCAGCGCAACTTGCCTCTGATTCCCTAGCCCTTCACTTCTCACTTTCTTTCTTTTTGGTCTGCCTCTTGGTGACGATCATTCACCCGCCTTGTCTTCCGTCCAACGCGCGTCAGCCTTGTCTCCTTTCGGAAGGTAGGGCACAGGGCTGCCCAGTCCCCTCACCCTATGCCCTAAATATCCTAGTACGGCTACCCCGCAGCCGGAACGTCGCCGCTTTTCATGATTATGATAGAATTGGGTATTGTTTCCCTGGTGGATTCCCTCGATGATTTCACTGATCCATCCCGCTACCATGGGTGAGGTATCGTTTCTCGCCCTCTGCACATAGGACATTTCTTGACCCTGGTTAAATGAGATTTATCTCAACTCTATCAAGTCTGGGGGGAAGATGATTGATGTACTTGTACTTTGATACGAGACCGATGTCCCGCCGACTGCCACCGGTCTAGGCGACTCGAACCAAGCTTAATTTCCATAGTTCACCCCACGCCGCCGTTCGGACCATAATCGGGACAGGATTGCTAAGCTAGATCAGAGTTTTGTCAGCGAAGGGCTCTACTTTTGTGAGCCGCTCAATGTCCGCCTCTCACGCCATCTTCTCGCAGCCTTTTCTGCCATCTCAGATGTAACCTCTTTCGGTGGCCTAGCGGCTTCATGTCCTTCACAGGAAGGTAGTGGTGCCGTCATCATCATCTAGACCCACCGATTGAAAGTACTGTCTCTCTGATGTCCCGTCGAGAATGCTCCGCGCTGATCGGGCGGCCGGAGGCTCACAGATTGCCTTCAATGGACACTGACACCATTATAATCGGTATGTCGCCATACTCCTTGCAGGCTATTCCTGCCAATAGACGCTGTGATTGACCTGTAACCGCCACAGGAAATGGGCCGTCGGCCATGATCCTGTCCTTTATCCTGCACGGTCACGTCCCGTATTATTCCCCCAACCCTCCACATCCTGATCCTCTTCTCCACGCCAAGCTCAAAAACCACCCGGCGTTGCTGGATGCTGATGTCGATGCTCTGACGGAGCATTTTGCCGCTTCCCGGCTGAGCTACTCCACTCAAGCCCTGCCGGTCAACGTATTATTTGATACCCTCTTCCGCCCCAGTATTGATGTGGAAGAACTGGGAAGCATTTCAAATATCGAATGGCGATATGTGCCTGAAAAAGCCGTTCCTCATTTGGTTTTTGGGAATGCGCCACGGCCCGGTGGGCAATGGACCGAAAATCTCGTCCCTGCTAGTTGGGACATTCAGACTTTGAGCTATGCATCCATGCTATCTCTTCCAGGCTACTCCTTCGCGGATCATTACCGGAAGGTCACAGGCCACGATCTCCCTGCTTTCACCCGACCCAGTAGACAGGAAACGGCGGAATATTTTCGGATGTATCCGGAAGCAGTTGGGATTGCGGATGTTTTCAAGAGCAATGAAACCCTGGCGGGGATTTCCAGAACGGAGAATGGCTTTTTCATTCAGTCACACAATATCCATTGCAAAAACTTGGTCTTAGCGAGCGGCATCTTTTCCGAAGTGATAAAGCCTCGTCCGCTACTCCAGCCTCTCCTGTCGCACCAGCCAGTCCCAGATATCCCTCTTCTCATTATTGGGTCTGGGTTTTCAGCTGCAGATGTAATTATCTCAGCACCAAAGGATCAGAAGATCATCCATGTATTCAAATGGGATCCTGAATCCCGGCCCTCTCCCCTGCGGGGCTGCCACCAACAGGCCTACCCCGAGTACGCGGGTGTCTACCGTTTGATGAAACGAGCCGCCGTTGCGGCAGGACCAAACACAAATAAGCGTCCTGCCAGAGTGAAGCGGACGGCATCAAGTCCGTTTCTCGAAAGCCGTGCTTGGGATGAGGTTTATGAAGGATATCCGAACACCGAAATCATTGGCGTGGATATGGAGAAGGAATTTGCTACGGTTACCTTCCGCCGAAATGATGGAACCACTTTCTCGCAACCTGTACGCGGCATGGTGTACGCGACTGGTCGCCGAGGCTCCCTTAGTTACCTCGACCGTGGACTCCTTTCCGAGATCTTGGAATGTGATGATAAAGGCAAAATAACCCCAACGGTCTCTGGGCAAACCCTGCGACAGAAGGCCTTTGAAAACATGGAAATTGCGAATAATGTCTTCATTGTTGGCAGTTTGACGGGCGACACTCTCATTCGGTTTGCACATGGCAGCTGTGCTCAAGCAGCAGGCAAACTGATCCGTACATATACTGGGGGAAAAAATGCAAGGACTAAAACTGTGGTCTCTCCCCGATCACAGGAGTCATTCCCAGGGGTGATGCAGGGCATTGATGGCCACGATATTTACGAAAACGGACATGACAGGATCCAGCTCGATAAGATTGATAGCTGCCGGACGGAGTACCCTATGCCTGAGAAGTCAGGTCTGCTTGGGAGCATATGGAAAGCACTAACAGCAATCTGGTAACGACACAATGTTTTATCCCCTTTACACGCGCAACACATAGATTCTAGAAGAGATGTACGAACCGTTTATATTGTATAAAATCGATTACACTTGGCACTTTTACACGCCTCAAAGGCCACAGATGTTCACAAAAGCTATGCGATGTATACGTGCAACAGGGTATATAATCTCATCATCATTATTGTACACTAACTACTCGCCAAGGTCGGGCATCTAACCCATGATCTGGAGCTGATCGTCTGGAGGCCACCGAGTTTGCGCAAAGCTCAAGCATCGTTTAATGCTTTGCAGGTACTTGCGAGTGATTTCGTCACTTAGAATATGGGCCTGCTGGTCGCTCTGGTGTAGCTTTTCTCGGGCTGATCGCTCGTGGATACCAACCATGGTAACACCAATGGGCCATGCTCTGTACGTAGTTAGTTATCTCAAGGTATAAACATTAGTTTAAGGGGGCCAATACGTACGCCTTTCCAATACTCAATCGTAGATAGGCATCGTTTGCATCTACATATCTCCGCAGCTGGGCCTTGTGGACGATTTCGACAACATGCTCCAGGACGCTATCATCAACATCCACCTTCTCGAACTTTCGGAACAGCGGCTTCATATTCTCCCTCGACTGGACCATCGCATTGTAGGCCTGTCGTCCCTGGTGGCTTTGCTTGACAGATATATCTCGCTTCGCCAATGCAAGCTCCCATTCCCCTAGCACCATGTTGAAATACGAAGCCAGCTGGCGGAACAGATACTTGCGGCCTTCTGTATCCTTAGGAAGTGTCGTAGAAATCTTCATATCCTTCTCAGAGACCAGTTCTAACGTCGTGGGAATAGGCCCATCAGACAATTGTTGCTGAGGGGTGAGCGAACGCTGTGTGAGTCGCTGATACCGCCGTAAACGACCGCGATGTGTCTCTCCAAACAACCGAGCCGGTTCGTCCAGCTCACGCAACTTCGCAAGCAGTTCCTCGTCCGGGATGTCTTCCTCGTCATCCTTGTCGTTGTCCTCATCCTTTTCACTGGCAGGGGGCAACTCAGGCAATCCCAACCGCTTCCGTCGCTCTCGCTCCTTGGCCGCCTCTTCTTCTTCTCTCTTCTTCCGTGACTCTTCTGCTAGTCGTCGCTTTTTCTCTTCTCGCTCCTGGCGCCGTTCGGCCTCTTCCTCGTCCAGTTTGCGCTTCTGAGCCATGCGCTCTTCTCGTTCGCGTTGCGCCCGCTCCTGCTCTTCATTGTAGGCGGCAATTCGAGCTGCTTCTAATTCGCTACGGCGAATGTATTTCTTCTCCGGAGGTTTCGATGTATCTTTTTTGTCTTCTGATGACGATCCGCCGTTTTTGGCTTTGGAGATCTCCTTGGACATTAACGCCGCGAAATCCATGTTGCTGACTGCCGATATGGACAAAATCCAACCATAAATAATGTAAATAATATATAGAAAGGAAATGATATCGTAGCAGAGTTCCGTGACGGACACCAGCGCCAGTCAGTTGGGAGGAAGCGGCAAAAGTTGAATCTCGGGTGGAGTGTCGAGAGGGCGGGCGAGACTAAAGTTAAGCAAAGCTCCGGCGGTCGAGCTTAACCCGTGACAAAACCAGAGCTCTCTATCTCAACCGCAACACTTCCGTTGACCATTCAATCCCTCCGTTTATATTCATTCATTGTTGTCTACCCTTGATGCCCGTGACGAAATTGACCCAGTCGCAAGAACACTATCTCCACGTCTGATTTCAGCCCTCATTGAACGATCAATTGTACCGTCCTTCGAACCACAGACAAACGGCATCATGGCCGCCGCTCGAGATGCGCCGAAGCCCCAAATTGACCGCCAGTCCACAACGCCCTTCCATCTGAAGCTTTTCTACCGTGTGAACAACTTCCACCACCTGTCAGACTTTGCTCCCCAGTCATCGCCTGCGTCGTACGGTGGTCCTGTCAGCGGCCCCAATGCCATTCGGGCGCGCTCCCCTCCCCCGCCGCCGCTCCCTGCCCACCTTCAAATCTACACCTGGCAGTCCTGCTCACTGCGCGAGTTGTCACAGCTCCTCACCTCCGCCTTGCCATCACTACTACCAGACCCTCCCGTAGGCACACGATTATGCTTCCGCCTCATTTACCCCGACACAAAGACCGCCGCGACGATGGGGCCCGAGGCGCGCGGCCGATACCTGAGCAAGGACATAGGCAGTGTGGTGGTCGGACCAAGAGACAGCCCGTACCGTGATGAAAATGACGAAGAGAACGGCGCTCCTGCGGGACCCCGGGCCGGTCCCCTACGGCTCCAGGGCCACGACGCCGACAAAACGCTACAAGACGTACGATTCGTGATCGGAGACTATGTGGATTGTGCGATTCTGCCGCCACTGGAGGACGGGTCGGTAGCACCACCGATCACGTCTGGGAGGGGGTCCATCGGTGCGGCTGTTGGGGGTGGCATGAGAGCATTCCGCGATAATGGATTCGCAGGCCGGCCAGGCCGGGGAGGTCGAGGCGGCGGCGAGCGCATTCCTGCAGGCGATTGGAGACGGGGAGAGAGGCTACCGGAAGGAGGGGGACGCGGGAGGAGAGGATGGGGTCCTTATTAATTGAATCTCTTTCTACTTTGCGTCTAATGATCTCGGATTGTATTAGTTTCTGGAGTTGTGATCCTGAGGGATACCCGGTACTGAAATATAACTGTTGTCTGATCTATGGCTCAAGGCTCTTCACTTCTGAAGGTGTAATGTAATGCTTAAACTTGGAGACATATCTTACCCCAGATATATATATATCTCTCTCTCTGCACATATCCTACACAACAAATTCCACCTACACTGGAAGTACCGCAAACGCACAGCCCAAACTCTTCGCCTACAATTCAACCAAGTACCAAGAAGGAAAAGAAATAACAGGCGGTATATTCCGTAATAAATACACATCTAGCGATGGGTGTCGTCATAATCGACAAACCCTTCATTTTCATCCACCCTCAGGCCGATCGACCGCAAAACAACGACAAATCAAAATTCTTCAATCGTATCTCCTCTCCTCTTCCCACGGAAATCGTACTTGCCCTGTAACAAGGAAAACCCGTCAGTCCGAACCTATCCATTCCGCGGTTTATCCGGGGAACCCAAATCAAACCCACCTCAGTGTTGTAGGCAATGTAGCCCAGCGTTCCGGGGATCAAAGCCATGTAGAGGAATGAGAACCAGGCATGGCGCGGGGTCCAGCGGAAGTATTTATAGCGGTTTGCGTTGACCTCTGCTCGACAATATTAGCCCTGATCGTGGTCTCGCTCGACAATCCTGTGTTCCCAATCGCAGTCCTGGACGGTAAAGCGCATCGAAAGGGTGTAGAGTCAATTGCATTCCGTCATCATCTCATATCAAGATTGGTTGGATTGGGTGTCGGGGGAGAAGGCGAGGGGAGGAGATGTACCGTAGTATTTCTGGAGGGCCGGGTCAAGGATCAGGGCTGGGATCGAAACGTATTAGCACCTCCTCTATCGATTGCAATCCGGGAAGAAGACTCACACTTGTTAGGACCGGCCATGGTAGCGGTTGTGTAGGATGGACAGCGTTATCACCTATCTTCGTCTTGAATTGGCTGAGCTTCGATTGGGTGAGGTGAGGTTCCCCGTGATGTCACGTGAGGCAGGTGCATTGCTTAGTAAGGCTGCATAAATGCATGGATGTGATTGGACATGGTTGCATGTTGTGTAGTCATGTGGATTCCTTCTTCTTTATCCCAATTAGGGTATCTTGTGTCTATCCTAGAGGCAGCTAATGTACTAGAGCCTGCAGCAATCGGGTGATTGTCGGAAAAAGTCCAGATAACGAGGATGTTTACTCACCAAACTCGAAAATGGTCCTCTAGGAATTGGACTGAGAGACCCACTCCCGCCGATGACGCAGTTTCACAGGCGGAGATGCCGAGGCAGGTATGCTCTTTCTACTCGGTCGCTGCAGTACAAGGAGATTATTCCAGTCGATCAGTTCAGATCTGCTCGGTATAAGAGTCCTGGCTACCTGATAGTGGTCTGCTACCCGTGTCTACCGCGTCAGAAACTGTACTCGCTGTCATCGCATACGATACCGTATTGAGTTCTGATTTTATATCAACTCGATCGCTTCTCGCTCAACTCAAAGCGGCCTACTTTTGCGCTCATATCAAAGCACAGATATACATCAAGATGACAGACGCAAACAAAGGCGCCAACATCACCCTTTACTGGTCCGCCCCCTTCTGTATACTGCGGCCACATCAGAGCACACTAACAAGAGCAAAACCCACAGGCTGGAGCAATCCCGCTCCCAGCGCATTGTCTGGCTCTTCGAGGAACTAGGCCTCACCTACAACCTGAAGACCTTCAAGCGCACATCGGAGATGCTGGCTCCCCCGGAGCTCAAGAAGATCCATCCGCTGGGCAAATCGCCCGTCATCACCATCGAAACCGAGCAGTCCGAGAAACCGCTCGTGCTTGCCGAATCGGGTAATATCACCGAGTACCTGTGCGACCATTTCGGCGGCGAGAAGCTGATCCCCAAGCGCTATCCCGAGGGCAAGGAGGGCGCTATCGGCGGCGAGACGGAGGAGTGGATGCGCTATCGGTACTTTATGCACTATGCCGAGGGTACTTTGATGCCGTTTTTGGTGTTTCAGTTGGTTATGGATCGTGAGTTTTGACTTTTCTTTTCTTTTCTCTTTTGCCTGGTGCTTGTGGTGGGTGGCTGATGGTGTGGTTGATATAGGTATGAAGGATGCTCCTGTTCCGTTCTTCATTAAGCCCATCCCAAGGTTTGTTGCGTACAAGGTTGAAGAAGCCTTCCTTTCCAGGAATATCTTCGGGAACTTCGATTTCCTCGAGGAGCGCCTGAAGACTGCCCCTGGTGGTGGGCCGTATCTCTGTGGACAGCAGTTGACGGCAGCTGATATTATGATGAGCTTTCCGCTCATTGCGGCGTCGTTGAGGTTGCCACTGAAGGAGAAGTATCCGCATCTGGCCAAGTATGTGGAGATGATCCAGGCGGAGGAAGGCTACCAGAGGGCTGTGAAGAAGGTGGAGGAGATTGACGGGAAGTTCCAGGCTTCCTTGTGAGTTTCTTTACGATTTGGGATTCTGTTGTATGATTGATATGGTGATGATGAAGTTTTTGTATGTTCATACTTATGCTTATGATCGTGCGATATTGCTTAATTGATAATGTGCTTGATTCTGTCTATTCGTATAAACATAAGTAGGGTATCAATCTAATTAGGTCTTCTGAGGTGTTCAGATCAAATCCCAACGCTAGTAGTATCGTTCGATTGTGATGCACCAGGCCGCCGTCCAACAGTATCCAGTTGAATGCCTAATTTCTCCATCTCCCGTACGTCCAGGAAACACCGGCCGTCAAGCACCCACTTGGGCTCTTTCAAGTTGTAAGCAATACGCGCCCACTCCAGCGGTTCGGCCGTTGCAGGTCGGCTCGATATCGAGCGGCAAGATGCACAATTAGCGGCACAAGCCTCTTGCGGGACAAGACGGTAGGATATTCCATTGAAAGCCCAAGTCTCCTCTTCTGGTTTAGCAGGAGACATAATCACCTCAGCCAGGCTATCATATACCTCCTGGTCTGCTCGAGCAACAGATGTCTGACAGATCGACAACGAACGACCGCGAGGGTTAGCAGGAACATTCTTGAACTGGTCACAGTCCGTCATGACCAGAACAGCATGCGCCTGCGAACAAGCCAGGTAAGGATCTGCAAGAACCTTCACGACACTCTTCTTCTCTGAGTGATTAGCCTGTGCCATTTCCAGCTCCCGGAGGATATCCTCTTCCTGACAGTAAGGATCATAAATCGCGATTTCCATCGGCCGCTCCTCCATCAAAAGCCGGACCACATCAGCTGCCAAAGACTCGCGCGTATCTCCCGTATCCTTCTTAAATGCAAAGCCCAGCAAGGCAATCTTACGACCCTGCAGATTGCCCTCGAATCGATCGATAACTTTCCTGGCGAACCGGCTCCGCTGCAGTACATTCATGACATTGACCTGATCCCAATACTGCGCGACGTCGTCCAGCCCCAGGGACTCAGCCAGATATGTCAAGCTGGCGATGTCCTTGCGGAAGCAGGATCCGCCGAATCCCAGCCCGGCCTTGAGAAATTGTGGTCCAATACGTGTATCCATGCCCACGGCTTTGGCGACTTGGTCAACCTCGGCGCCGGTCTTCTCGCAGATGGCGCTGATAGAGTTGATGCTGCTGATGCGTTGGGCGAGCATGGCGTTGGCTACTAGCTTGGATAGCTCTGAAGACCAGGAGTTGATTTCAAGGATACGTGATGCGGGTACCCAGGTGGAGTATAGACTTGCGAGCATGTTTGCTGCACGGCGACCTGCTGGTGTTTCTGAATATCCGATGAGGACACGGTCAGGTTTGACGAGGTTGTCGATGGCTGAGCCTTCGGAAAGGAATTCTGGATTGGAGAGAACCTCGAAGGGGACGTCTGGTCGAAGGGAGGCGAACTATGGCGAGGTTAGTTTCGTTGCATTAGGTCAAAGTAGAGCCCTTGTAAGTCCCATGATCTGGTGAAAGGATGCCACTCGCAAAGGGAATGAAGCAAGGAGTAGTAAATACCATTTGGCGGATTCGCTGAGCTGTGCCACACGGCACCGTACTCTTCTCCACGATAACTGCGCCAGGTTTTGCGTGTTGCGCAATCTCTCGCACAGCCTCGTCGACAGCCGTCATATCAGTCGCTCTTCCAGCGCCTAACCCAAACGACTTGGTGGGCGTGTTCACCGCAAGGAAGACCATATCAGCGCGAGAGATGCTCCGAGCTGAGTCGCATGTAAAGAATAGGTTGGGCTTCCGCTTCACGTCCCCTAATATGGCTGCAATAGAAGCACTCGAAGTGACAAACTCTGCGCCGTCCCTCGCTACGCGGACAACATTGCCCAGGCCTGGTTCATGGACGGGAAGATGTGGTGACTTCCATCTCTGAATGCGACGAGGGTCTCGATCTACGACTTCAACTGCGATGGACGGGTTATGGAGCGCGAGGACTGCAGCGGTCGGCCCACCTGTGGACAGTTAGGGTCATGCATAATAGCATCTTGAGAGGAGTGCAAACGTACCTACATACCCCGCGCCCACGACGCAGACATTTTGGACCAGTCCCGCCGAGGGCCTCCAAAGTGCAGCAACGCTGGGAATGTCGTGTACCTTCTGCTCGGAGCCGAGATTATAAGTAGCCGATGGAGACGGAAAGCTTGACAAGACGAGGTCGTCTCCCTTGGAGGCACCGAATAAAGGACTTGAAGCTGGAGTCGTAGGAGGCGTTGAGTCCTCATACAAACTCCCCTCCGAGGTGCCTAGTGGAGAAGACGGAATGTCCATCGGGCGATTATCCTTTTCCGCAATCATTTTCGAGAGAATGTCCAATTCGCAGGCATGAGCCTTCTTGAATGCAACTCCCAACAGGGATCAAACTGTTTATACAGTCTATTACTGCACCTGACCCTTCCTGGTCACCCGGTGGCCGAGGTAAACTATCATGGTTAATCGCTGTATGTTTCCGGCAGGCTACTAGTCCTGCGAATGCCTCCTACGAGCGTTTCCGGAACGTGATGAAGCAAGATAAGGGCCTAAGAGCCATATGAGCGTAGTAGATAATCGTAGGGGGCTCCAAAGAGCTTGAAGAGTTAATGCACGGGGAAGTGAAGACGGAATGTCACTGGTGAAGTCTGAAGGTTATTTGTATAGCGGCCACCCCCACGTGCCCGCACGAAGCCCTCCTACACGAAGCTTGTGGTCCATCCCTAAAGAACGAGCCCTCCAACCCGCAGGAGATCGTCGAATCAACCGGTCATCATGTGCTATCCATGTTTTCATGTCATCTGCCTTGAATGCGATCTAATGCAAGATAAAAAGGTTCGAATAAACCATGGTATTACCACCTCTAATTCGCTGCATGCTTGCAGTACACAATGGCGTCGTTTACTTCCAAACCGGATGATTTTCCTAAGATTCTCAAAGGAAGGCGTGTTCTGCTGACTACAGAGTCTCTGGGGCCCGTTAATGGCGTTAGTCGGACGACGTTGAGTTTGGTGGAGTATCTCCGGCGCAACGGTGTCGATCTGGCTGTAGTCGCACCGCATTATCAAGGATTCCGCCACCAGGTACAGGACGCAGCAGACTCACGGATACCAGGATATCCTCTACCGTACAATCCAGACCTGACGATAGTCTACCCCTTTCGCTTAGACACTGTCTACAAACAAACCTTCCATCCAGATATCATTTATGTCGCCAGTCCAGCGTCGCTGGGCTTCCAAGTCCTGCTACAGACCCGTCAACTTCGGAAACCACCTACAGTGTTGCTCAACTACCAAACAGATCTCTCAGCTTACAGTGAAATAATCTTTCCGGTACCTCTTGACAGATTCGCAGTTTGGCTCTTGGCCACCGTGCAAGGGTTCCTGTTCAGCCATCCAGCCGTTCACACCATCTTCTATCCTTGTTCAGCAGTACTGAACTACCTAAAAGACGCTGGAGCCCCTGTCGAGCGCACAATTCGATTAGGACGTGGCGTTGATACCTCTTTGTTCAACCCCGCGCACCGTGATAATGCATATCGAACAGAGATTGCCCCGAATGGAGAGATCATTCTCGTCTGCGTATGTCGCCTTGCTCCAGAGAAGGGGTTCGAGTTCCTGGCACAGACGACAGTCAAATTGGTCGAGCAAAAGGTTCCATTCAAGCTGCTGATCGTCGGAGGGAATCGCAACCCGGTCGTTGAAAACCGAATCCACCGACTTTTCGACGCGGTTAGGGAGCATGTCATTTTCACCGGGTTCTTGACCGGACAGCCCCTAGCTCGCGCGTATGCCTCGAGCGATATCTTCCTCCATTGCTCGATCACAGAAACCTTTGGGTTAGTTGTGCTGGAGGCAATGGCCAGTGGGGTGCCCGTTATCGCCAGAGACCAAGGAGGCCCGTCGGATATTGTACAACATCAAAAGACAGGATATCTGGTTTCTCCAAACGACATAGATACCTTTGTTAGCCTAGTACGAGAGGTTTCCATTGATAGCCAGCTGCGGTCTACTCTAGCCACCTCTGCCCGGAGGTATGCAGAAGAGACAACATGGGAGAAGATCAATAATCGTGTGGCTTGGCAGATGGCAATCGCGCTTGAGCAACGTTCAGCCGAAGAAAGCCTGGGTAGTTCTGATGAACCTGTCCTTGCTAACTTCATGTTGCCGATCTTGGAAAAACTGCGACTTACTTTCGCTGTTGGACTTGCGTACTTCATGTGGTTGATTGCTGTGGTTCCTTTGATTATTCATGGACAACAGATCGTCCCCAGAGCTTTGGAGTTGGTGCATAGCATGCCGTTAATTGGGAGGTGTATACGGTATCGCTCTAGCTAATGTATGTATAGAAGCTATAGAGGCAGTTCTATATTGGGTATGCACATTCATTTCTACGTTAATGTTTTTGGTGCGCCAAGGAGTGTAGCTACACTCAGCGAACTAATAATGACACCAGGGGTAAGCGAAGGAGATATTTGTCAATATGCCAATCCAGTACTGGACAACAGACATCCGTTGTAGATATGACTTCATGAGAATGTCTACCACTTCTGTCAATGTCAGATTTTATATTGTTTCCCCAAGAGCCTGCGACAGGACGCTGAAACGCATACCGTTCCATGCTCGCTTCAAATCGCACATACAAACCCGTACGGAAATAGCGAAGTGTGACCTGCAGTTCTTGGATCCAGAAGAAAAGGACCTACCAAGTCTGCCACAATCCACTAAAGCTGTACCCACACCAGCACCTATGCAAGCATGACCATAGCCTGGGGCTTAGCAAAGCCCTCAGATAATCCTTCACATTTCGGTACTCTGTAATGCCAGTCGGATATCCCTCCCGGGAAAATCAGACGACCACAGCGGAAATTGACAGGATATATTATCTGCATCTAATATAAGCCAAGAGTATACTTTGAGGCCTTGGCCGGTAGATCATATTGCCAAGTCGGCAGAAATAGGATCGCCGTTCAAGATAGCGCCAAGCCCAAGATTGTGAAGAATAGAATTAGGGTTTAATACGCCCAATATTGGAAGGTCTGGACTGCGCCTCCCCACAGGTCGACCAGCTTCCTGATGCAACACCACAAGGTTTTGGCCCAAAATTGGCATCTACCACGAGTCTCTTATTTGTGGTTTGGTAATCTTGGTACAAGCCAAGAATTAAGCACCGTGGACCGTGTGGCGCAGCCGCCACAGGGAAGCTATCTTCGCCTGACCGTTGGGATCGAGGATCATTCAACGCCAGAAATTCGATCTCGGAACAATTCCGCGATTATCAATCTATCTGATAGTCTGAATCCTTCAATTCAGGCTATGCTTAGCTTCGAAGATGTACGTCTAACGGAACAGATAATGTGCAGTGACTCGAGTGTATTCTACCATTGTACTACCGGTGTGGACATGGTTTGTAATTAGAGATATTGATTATTGATGCAGTAGACTTTCAGATCATGGTAAAGCAGCTTATGAAGGCACAATGACATTGTTTCTAATTGTTTCGAGTAGTTTTGAGGGATTTCTTTTCGGCCGGTTGCCTGTTAGGTGAACCGTGCATTCAGTTTCATTATGGATTAAATTGCCCAATTACTTCACCACTGTCCATCATGGTAGAGTGATCGTGCCGTGGCTCGGCGCCAAGTAGACTAGGATTCGAGAAGTATTCGACTGGAATAGTAGTTCTGAGTACTCGCCCAGTTTGGATGCCTGGGGACTCATGGCATGCTTAAAAGGCGTGAAGATCCCCAAACTGCTGCCTACATTATCCCCATACGTACCACATCTATCTATTCAGCGTCCACCCCATTAATACTAGACCCTATCTCTATCGAACTATGGTTTACTTGAAAAGTCTTCTCGCTCTTTCGAGCCTCTTGTCGCTCGGTCAATCGCAGTGGGCTCCAAACGTTCCCTTGGAGACTCGCTCTCTCGACGAGATCTATGAAGCTGCTAAGAAGGAGTCCGGCCCTTTGGTTGTGTCTTCTGGAGGAGATGGTAAGTATCACTGTAGCTACTAGTACTTTCCCTTCATATTGCTGACAGCATATCTAGCCGGAAACCAGAACGATTTCATCATCAATGCGTTCCAGAAACGCTTCCCTGATATCCAGGTGAACTGGACGGTCGACCTCTCCAAGTATCACGCGAGCCGCATTGATCGTGGATTCTACGGCAAGGGGGAGACAACCGATGTGGTAATCCTGCAGACCTTGCAGGACTTCCCACGCTGGAAGTCGCAAAATCGCCTGCTTTACTACAAGCCCGCAGTGTGGAACGATATCTATGCCTCCGAGCGCGATCCTCAGGGCGCTTATCTTCCCATCGCAGAGTGTACGCTACCTTTCCGTTATGAACTCGAATTTGTTCTGACAAATGTCTACAGATGGCTTCGGCAGCATATTTTGGGACAGCACCAAGCTGAACGAATCCGAGATCCCCGAAGACTACGCATCTTTCACTGACCCCAAGTGGCACGGGAAGCTGGTTCTCACCTACCCCAACGACGATGATGCCGTTTTGTATCTCTTCGCCAAGATCATCGGCCGCTACGGCTTTGAGTGGCTCAGTGCCCTCCAGGCAAACGACGTCCAGTGGGTACGGGGCTCCTACACCCCCGCTGCCGTTATCGCGGACGCCCACAATAAGACGGACGACCCTCGGTCGATCACTTTCACCACTGCCGATGGCACCGAAGACTGGTGGAGAAACAAGACCCCTCAAAAGGACGAGAGCATGAGCTGGTCCCAGACGGGAGCGATCCTTGCGAGCACGAAGAGGCCGGAGACCTCCAAGCTTCTGCTTAGTTTCTTGGTCAGCGATGAGTGGCAGAAGGCCCAGGCTGATGCGGGCAGCTTCGTTCCCCGCGTTAGCTTGGACAAGGGCAGGCTTTACGAGCAGAATGTTAGTGAGGTTGGTGGCTTCCGCGTCTTCATGAACCAGCGCAACGTTGTCGATTGGTGGAAGAGCCAATTGGAGACTAGTCTGGGTACTCCTCAGGGAGAGAGTCCGTTGGATATCTATCCTCGTGTCTAGTCGGGGTACTGCTGCGCCTGCAGATTGGCCATTTCTGAGTATATATATGTGGTGAACTCTGCGACATGGTGTCGTATTCGTATGCTTATATAGAGAGTCTGTCGCTGTCTGCTATTCTGGTCTTCCTGTTTTTGGTTAGAACTATAGAAGCGGACTGACTTGTAGTTTTAGCTTTATAATTAATCCTGTTTTTACTCTGAACTGTCTATTCGCTATCCATTGTATGAGAGAAGTTTCGAGTGAATTAGTCATCGCGATTACCTGCCAAATGCGTGGCCGATTTATAAGCGGGGTGAGTCAGCCATGAGAATTAGGCAGGAAATCCCGCCAGCCCTAAGTATATCAACCCGAAATGTACATATACAACTACTGGAATCATCTTCCAATTTTACACTGATCAGCGACCTTCTACATCTTCGTTACATTTTCTAAACACTGAAATACCGTCCCCTTACCTTATTGATTGCAGCTGCTTCTCCAACTAGACAATGTCACGCATCTTCATGTAAGTACTTCGAAAGCATCAAAGACATAGTACTAATACGAATATTTCAACCAGAACTGGCGCGACAGGATACATTGGCGGGGATGTCCTCTTCGCCCTCACACAAGCCTGCCCCGCCTCGAATATCTCGGCCCTGGTACGGAGTCAGAGTCGAGCATCTCAGCTCACACACAAGTTTCCGTCCGTAACTACCGTGATTGGGGACCTGGATTCCACCGCCAGAATCACAAGTGAAGCCTCAGAGGCCGACGTCGTCCTTCGTAAGACTTTCTCCCTGTGTATAATTACTGTCGACACGCTAACTAAGGAAAAAAGATCTCGCCAGCTCGAATCACCTACCCAGCGCCACTGCCATTGCACAAGGTTTGACTGAAAGCAAGCGCCAAAAGCCAGGTATTCATCCCACCCCTGTTTCAACTCTTTCCCCCTATCACAATACTGACAAATCCCTAGTCTGGATCCAAATCTCGGGTGCAAGCCTCCTCTCCGGGCCCGACATCACAGCCAACGCCTACGGCGAACCACGCTCGCAAGAGTTCAACGATTTACAAGGCATATCCGCGATTCGAAACATCATCACTTCCTCGCCGAAGCGCGCCGTCGACAATCTCCTCCTTGGTCTCTCCGCCACAAATCCTCACGTCCGAACAGCCATTATATACGGACCACTGATCTACGGCCAGGGAAGAGGCCCCGTAAATCAGCGCAGCATACAACTCCCAGACTTGGCAAAATCAACTATCCAGCACGGCCATGGTCTCCAGGTCGGTAGAGGTCTCAGCTGCTGGAGCAACATTCATGTCTCGGATATTGCGCAGTTGGTTGTGAAGTTGACGCAGGAAGCGTCCAACTCTCGAAATGCGCCGCTATGGAACGAGAATGGGATTTATTTCGCTGAAAATGGGAAGATGGTGAGTCAATTACTAGTCCCCTTGGATAAGCTGGGAGTTTGGTTTTCTGATTATGGGTTATAGCCGTTTGGGGAGATTTCGCAAAGGGTAGCTTCGCTTGCTGCTGAACAGGGCTTTATCAAAGACCCCACTGTTAAGAGCATCGATGCCGATACAGCGGACAAGTTGACTGCACATGGTGCCGTGCTGTGGGGGACGAATGCTCAGTACACTGCTGCTCGGGCACGAGAGTTGCTGGGTTGGAAGCCACAGGGTCCCAGTCTAGAGGAGGAGATTCCGAGAGCCGTGCGGGAGGAGACATCGCATTTCAATTCCAAGCTGTAGAATTATTCTAACTGTATAAGTGTGTATCGGTCGTGAGGCAGGGCTAAGGATTATATGCTCAGTTGGTTTCATGCTATGGAGCATTAACAATGTCCGATCATTGAGACTTGACGTTTACCTCACGGTTCAATGGCTGTGGCTGAATTAATGAAAACTATGTATAAGCTACAAATGCATGGGGTATGAATACCGCACTGAAGACCAGGCATCCAGACAATCCTCAAAACAATAAACCCAGCATTCGGTAGTTTGAACATCCATCCCAGCTTAATGCTAAACATACTAGAGCCGCACAGGCTCCTTGTCCGTCGGAACCACCAGATGACCCTCGCGTACCAGCGAGTTCTTGCAGGTCCTCTTCAGAGAAAAGTCCTCCAAATTCCCCAACGTAACGCCCGCGATCTCACTGAGCGCCTCCTCCGTAAAGAAAGCCTGGTGGCCGCAAACAAGCACATTGGGGAACGTCATCAGCCGCATCAACACATCGTCATGGATAATCTCGCCAGAATGATCATTGTAGAATAGCGATCCTTCCTCCTCGTACACATCCAGCGCCACACCACCGAGCTGACCCGACTTGAGCGCATTAATCACAGCTTTGGTGTTAACCAGGCCGCCACGAGAGGTATTGACCAACAACGCGCCCTTCTTCATCCGCGAGAGATTTTCGTCATTGATCACATGTCTCGTACCGTCTGTAAGAGGACAATGCAGACTGACGATATCGCTTTGCGACAGCAGATCCCCGAGTTCCACAAACTCGCCATACTTCTTGAACTCCTCGCCTCCGAACGGGTCATACGCCAGCAGCTTACACCCGAACCCATGTACTATTTTCGCAAACGCCAGTCCGATCCGGCCGACGCCTACAATCCCCACCGTTTTACCGTAGAGCGTGCGGCCCAGAAATCCCTCAAGGTTGAAGTTCCCCTCCCGGACGCGGTTAAACGCGCGATGGGTCTTGCGATTCAGCGTCTGGATCAGTGCCACTGCGAACTCAGCGACGGCTTCGGGGGAATATGAGGGGACATTGGCGACAAAGAAGCCTAGGTCTTCGGCGACTCGCAGGTCGATGTTGTTGAAGCCGGCACAGCGCAGGAGAATGGCGCGGACGCCGTTTGCGTAGAGGGTTTGGAGGACGGGGCCATCCAGCTGGTCGTTTACAAAGACGCAGACTGCATCGCTGTCTTGCGCAAGAGACACGGTCTCAGATGAGAGGGCGAATGAATGGTAGGTGATGTCACAAAGCGTGGAATGATGTCTGCGGAGTGTGACGTCGAAGTAGTGCTTATCGTAGGACTTGGCGCTGAAGACTGCCAGCTTCATGTTGGATGATTAGGAAAGTTTTTTTTGTTCGATAATGGGAAAATGTCGCATTGACATGGGGATTGATTGCATTTTGTTTGCATATGGGGTGGGGTTATAGCGTGTCGTGGTATGATCGTGGCTTGATTCTGCCTTTGGTCGTCTAGGGCTTGGCTGAGGGGTGGTGACGTGTAGATGCCGTTCCATGTAACCTCCGACATTCTCGTACCTTTTTCATTCAATATCCTTTCTTTGAATTCAATCCGAATATTCATGCGAGTTATTCAACAAAGTAATGAGCGAATTATCTTGGCTTAGCCCGCAATCTGTAAAAATAGTAGGAATTAACGCAACCTCGGCCCAGCGTAGTGCATGTTACACACCAGAGCGTCCAGACCATGCACTTGTATTGTCAATTCAATAGTATGGCAGGTAACTTCACCCTTGCCACGTAGCTCAGAGTCTGACAGACGAATATTTAAGAGATAGCACTCTCCCTGGATGCACTTGGAGATCAAGAGATCTTCCCCTTCAGGTTATGAGCCTGCCCTATCGATGGTCACTTTCGACAGATATCTTGGAGCATATCGTAGACAGCGAATGGTGTACTGCGTGTGAGATTATGAACCCCAAGAAGCAGCTGGAACTGGGAATGACAAAGAAAACTTATGTATTACTGTCCCTTCCTCTACTTTCTTACCCCATCTGCCAGGCCTTTCTAATGATTGAGAATAGATATCCGGTTGTGAGGCGACGGGGGATCATTCTCTATATCTCTACCACTGAAGATACTGAGCAAGGCTGCTAAAGGTGTCAGAATGGATTCAAGACTACCGTATGCTGGAGCTTCCGTGTCAGTCAACCCGAGAGGACCCATCGACCGTTCACTCGTGGAATCCAATAATCCAGAGGCTACGAGTGGTGGGTTTACCAATTTCTCGTCTAGATTACAAACTATCTGCTGATCATACCCAAGGCCCTCTAGCTCGCAGAACTGGTGGTGCGAGCCATGAGTAGGACATGCCTCGGTAACAAGGGCGAGTCAACATCCCGAGGTCGTACTTCCAAACAAGGACGCATATGCGCTATACTCCGGTTATAGAGCAAACAATTACGCTCTCTCGAGATCAGAACAGAGTCGTCATGAGCACCGGCGATTCCTCGAGGAAAGGATTCAAACTAATTGGTGAACAGCCATTACTATTAACATACACCATAATGGGGCAACCGTTCCGTGAGTTATTTCCTTTTTGATGCTATGTGCTGTGTGGATCGAAGCCGGTGCGAGTCGAGGGCTAAACACGGCGCGTAGGGAGGGTCAGCCTGACCCTAAGAAAGGCGACTCTGCGTCAGAGGGCCATCGATCGGACGATTCAAGAGACATTGAGGGGGATGTCGTTATGGGGGAAGCACATGCTGACGACGATATTGAGATGCGTGAGTGAGGACGATCCCTTTCGACCAAGTCTTTCTTCGGACCCCTAACCCACCGGAACGACTATGCTATTCGTTCCAATGGGACATCGAAGAGTTCTGGGGGCATAGGTTTGAGCTCACTAGGCTTGATGCTTAGTGATTTCGACTGGGGCCAAAATTCGTAGGTGCCGGAGGCAGCATTCCAGTTACACTGTAGGTTACCCCAGGACCCAGGTACTGACAGAACGCAACTCACACGGTCACACCACAGCGCTTACTTCACTACAGTTGTTCCTTGAGGAATTCCTATCTTGCTTATGGAAACCAGACGACAAAGAATAAAAAGTACTCTGCCGGTCTCCCCTGGCCATTCCCCTTTGATACAACATCATAGAGTAAGTAAGTAACTTCCAGATTGGGTGGTTTCTCGCTGACCTGCGCGTGCTGGAAAGAAGTGTCGTATACCGCTACAACTTCAAGTCGCCTCGCAGAAAATGTCCCTAGGGTCGCACCTCGCATACTCGAGGCTAGGTATCCTGGGCCTAATTCTCGGCGACTTTGGCACTTGAGTTGTGATGTGTCAGCACGTGTATGTATTATCTACTGAGTTTTATACACATTGACAGAAGGCTAATATCTACTATTATATAGATAACATTGGGGGAATACCACCTTCGACGGCTTTGAAAGAGCCTATAGGCTCACGCGCCCTCCATGTAGGATAATCGGTGATCTCGAGTAAAATCTATACTAATATGAAGATCTTATAGCACGACGAAAGTGGTGGAGGGTGCATGGGGAAAGCCTTATTGTGCTATCGATGAAGGTCTCTTCCTGTTCAAGCTCACTGTCACCGAACCGTTCGTCTCCTGTCGGTCCGAATAGTTTATCAACCCGGCGCAGCTCAGTAGCAGATGGATTATCTGCAGGTTGCCAATATGTGCAGCAAATAATCCCGGTTGACCCCCGTGATCCCTCTCATCCACGTTCCATGTCCTTGTGAACATCAGTAAGGAAACCCGGGTATTGAGACCCGTTGTTGCATGGTGGAGTTGATACTTGGGGCGCAAGATGTTGCACAAGGGTTGGAACATGTTGGATCTTTAAGAGTATTGTAGATTGGAGGTGTTCAATAGGAAGGTGGGGGGTGCATGTATGATTGCACCGAACGACATCCTCATACAGTACGACGATAGGCGAAACACAAACACCAAGTGTGCAAGACCCAGTCCACTTCAACCCCGACAAGTAGGCAACTATTGCCCCAACCATCTTATCGCAATGCTGCAACCGTTATATACAGCAATGAGGATGGACCGTGGTGGCCACTTGGAGGCAGTCATGGTGACGGGAGAAACTGGACCGACGTTTATCCTCCCGTGAAGATCGATTCTGAGTCACTGGTCGGTGTGATTCAAAGACAGGAAGGGTAAAATTGAAATGGAATACAACGGCTGATATCGTTGTGACCACGATAATGAATGCCCGGGGACTTGGCAGGCGCACCTCCCAACTCTATGCGGTCATTCTTGACGAGATACGCTCGTTTTTGAAATCCTGAAATCTTTCATATCCTCTCTACTCTGTCTATCAAGGAGGGTATCTACTATCATTCGCACGCCAGACTCTCCGGCCCAACGCCGGGCATCTTCTAGAACTGATAAGTACACCTACAAGGGTCAACTTGACGATTCTTGGTTAGACACACGATCTAACATAAGACTTGCAACACACGACCTGGGCCTCCTCGGTAACCCATTCCTACTCAGAGGACCAGAATCTTGGCTGGGCCCGACTACCTTCAGCTTTGAGAAATGAGGATCGAGCATGTTTCTCGCCACCAACCAATGAACCATTCCTGGACACAGCACGTAGTACAGGTTGGCCGCTGGCTCTGACACTTTTCTCCATATGCCCTGTGGAGAAAAGACGTCAGAGCCAGCGGCCAACAATACTACGTGCCGTGTCCAGGAATCATCAACAAGCCCGCACGATATCGTAATAGAGGGCATACAGAGTTAAGCCTTGGACACCGTGCCGCCTACCTTCCATGGAGCAGAGAGTACACCAGGATGGCCTTGAACGGTAGGCGCACTGTGTTTGTTATGGGTGTGATCGCCGGCAGCATGTTGGAATCCAACCTAAGCCACTTAAAAAGTACAGAGGTCTTGCGGGCCATAAAAATGTCACACCTGATTGAACTTATCCGGTGCCTTCTCCAGAAAAGAGGAATCGGCAGGTCTTGTTCACTGTGCCTGGAGTGAGCGCGAGTGGGAGAAATACCGCGCCTTTCATGAATACTTCCACCAGTATCAGCGTGGCGATATCGATGCGAAAAACCACTGTACAGTTTCGAGCAGCAACTAAAAACCTCCGGGAGGCTGTCTGTCCTGAAGAAAGCGGATGTGACTGTCGCCACTCTCTTTGCGGGCAGTCAGTATGCCCTCTACTCTGTTATCGTTCCTGTGGATTTTACTATAATCGAGTGACGCTGTTGGTGGGAGATCACCATCAGCTAAAGCCCACCACGCTATCAGACACGGCAGGCAATCCTCTACGCGGTCAGTTGAATCTCTCCCTTTTCTGCCGTCTGGTATTTGCTAGGCTGGTTGTTCGTATGCTAGAGATACAGCACCGTATGCACCCAGATATCTGTGCACTGGTGAGCACAGTGTTTTACGACGGAAAACTACAAGAAAGTGCAGATTTTGGACATGTGTACTGCGAGGATGCTATGTTCTCATGGGCTCCAGCTTACAGGAATCGCAGCCTGCGACCATTGGCTCTTCTACGCCGTCATGCTCCAGAGAACATACCTGGAAATAGTGATCCTGCGGACGTATTGAGAATGGATCCAGAGACAAGCTTAGACCCTGAGAAATACACAGGGTAGCACTAGATAGGGTCGTTGAGGCAGAATGCGCCAGGATCGGACTTGGCAGTTATAATAACTGCAATTGTTCTTAATGCTGGAGAGGCTCACGATTATAGTCCAGAGCCCAAAGGTTGGGTCATCTTTATTACCTCCTTTTCAAGTACCCGCTGATTGACGAACTGCTGTACTGGGCTCCTTGTCTTTGGTCAATCAAGAGGCATGTCAAGCTGAATGCAATGAGAGTCAATATGGATGGGCCTTCAGCATCTGCAGATGTTCCATAACCTAGGCAATCTTACAAGTGATGGTCGATATTTGCCACTTGAATAGCCCGGTCAAGCTGGACCTGTATCCGGTACCTTCGCAGGATGGGATCCTAAATATATGCAGCGTTGTTCTTATATTCCAGTGGTCGGCGCTTCAAAATCCCTTTATCCATTCCCTTTCAGGAGACTGCAATAAGAGGAGCCAAAAGAACAGACAAAAATGCAATGAGATGTAAGTAAAAAGCATAACCTGGTTATCCTGACATACATTGGAATGATGCTTTGCCAGAAACTAGAAGAGGGCAAGATGCTAACCAGCCAGGCAACGACCTCTCCCCGAGCAGCGCAGTCCATCATTTACTCCCCGCTATCACCAGTAAGAGCTCTACTCTACTATTAGAGTTGTCGAGAGCAACTTTACGAACTTGCTCCTGAATTCGATATACGAGCGCCAAGTGGTGTTTGCATGTGTGTCTGTTAGGCCTTGCTAGAGTCCCTGATGGCGAGCCAGATTATACTGAATCCTGGCCCACGGTTGTCTGTAAGGCTCTTCTCTCCTCAAGGCTGCAACTGCTTCTGACATCTGAACAGGCAACAACGGCACGAACACCACAGACTATGCTGACTTTGTACAAAAGTCCAGTGGTGGATCTGGCAGATTAATTGTCGATTACTCCAGACCGGCTTTCTTTGCGGTGACACCAGGACATGACCTTCAACGAGCGGCAAACGCGCCAGTCGCTTGTCCACCGAGCAAACCAGAGCAGGATAAAAGGACGACGCATTAAGAGGATTCATCCAGCTCAGATGACCTCAACGAACCTTTCCGGGATTGGAAGGACTGCAATCAGTATTGTGAGGTACTGGGATACGGATCAAACTGTCCTATGCATAACGTTTCTAATACTACGCACAGAACAACGAGACAAGTTTGAACGATTCCATAACCGTGACACTCAATCGCAAAAAGGACCTTCAGAACATACTTACAGGAGCAAAGTGTACAACGTCGCCGGTGAACCTGCATATTCCGAAGAGTATCCAAACAATCATCCGACACTCATGAAAATCACTACAGTCCTTACGATCATGGAACAGTTTTCAAGTTCTCTGAGCTGACTGCATCCTCTTGATGCGAGTTTAAACCATCTGTGCAAAAGGCGAACGAAGAGCTAGTTTAGGTATCCTCAAAAGCCCCCGGACTTCTTCCTTGCCATGGATTGCTGTTACTCACACCTGTAGTTCAGTCGAGGTGTGTGTTTTCCTTTGTCTTAATGTTTTCCCTTCCAACTCCTTCAGTCATCCCGGCTACATGATCACGACTGATCTTGATTCCTTGCGTGCTCTCTTCTAATATCATAGAGCGCCATGAGTTGTCAAGCGTCGACAAGACAGCGATCCGGCTTCTCGACGCGGTCCGCAATGGGCTTGTTCCAAACAGCAGAGGTTCAACCCAAGTTGCTAACAAGAACCAACGACAAGCCTATGTCCTACATAGTCTCTCACAGAGGAACAATACCCGTCACTCAAGTGTGCAGGTACCCAGCAAACAGGATATGCCGGCCAAGGTAGTTCACATATATACGAGAAGAGAAGCTTTCCACGATTCCCTATGGCCAGATCGCTAACATTAGAGCCATGAGCTGGTATCCAATTACCACGGAAGTAGCGACTCGAAAGCTTTCAAAATCCGGGGGGGCAAAAAGCCGATTGAAACAAGCGGAAGAGTTGGGGAAGCAAATGATTGAGGTCCGGAAGAAAGCATTAGTCGACGAGGCGGTATTGATATGGTGGATGGAAGAGAATGACTGTATGGAAATGACAGGCGTGCTCTAGCTGGATATCGAAGTGAACGGCACTAGCGTATGTTGGTATCCCAGGTATAACTTGGTGGCGCATTGGGAGCTTCCATTCTTCTCGTTTCAGGGGATCAAGGCTGTTACTGGGTTGTATGTTGTGTCTCTGCTTATGTTCCTCAAGGCATTTGTTTCGAGTGGTATCCCATATGTATGATACGCTACGTCTCGAGATGTTTGCAAAACGGTCTGTCAAAGACAATATTAATTTGGTATTATCTAGTCAAACACCCTTTGTTTGGTCTTGTAAAGGTGGCAATTAGATTCTTCCTAACGGTCTTTGGTTTTATAAAAATAAATTAATTAATTAAAGGGATAAGTCTAAGCACCTCTTGCGAAGTCTCACTTCATCGCTACATACCGTAATATTGCCGAAGTAATTTAGCTGAATGCAGGCTGTGCTAAGAAGTGTGGTGGTTCAAGGAGCAGTTATTCCTTTGTGCAAGTGTCCTTGGCCTCAATAATGAATATATAGTTCCACGAGCTAGTCACCTCGATAAAGGAGCCAGACTATTCAAAGCATGAACTCTATGAATTAATAGTTTCCTGGCCTATAACTGCGATATGATAGCAGTACATACATGCACGGGGTGTTCAGATATATAACAACAACCAGGGGACAAAGCAAACCTAGGCAAGACTAGCTCTCCACAAAACAAAGCAACCCTCGACGCCATCAATGATTATGGCGCCAGAAAGAAAGAAAGCCCTGCTACCTCATGACCCCTTAAAACTGTCGGTGTACATACTGAACCTACTTACAATGATGGCTTTAACTTGAGCTAAAAACAGAGCCACTGCGACACGACGCCTCACATGCACTAGGCCAAAGCTTAAGCCGGTGAATGCGTTGCACGACATCGGGGATCGTAATTCAAACAAAGAAAAGCCACGCTCTTTCATGCACCTGGCGATGGACGACCCCTTGCAGCGATAACCCTAAACCGGCCAACTAGGACCCAGGCGGGACTAGTCCGGGAGCAGGAGATCGACAGGGAGATGCAACGCAGATCTGAAAACGGGCATGGTTAGACTCCGTACAGAGTCTCATGCGAGTTTCAGTTGGGAATTTGGATAGTTAGGTACCTAGTGACCTTGGGGGAAAAATGTAGACGGTATGTTGTCGAGGCTGTTGGGAGACGTATACCTTAACTGAAGGCTAAAAATATAATCGAGGGAAGAACACGAACCCGACAGGCCGGATGAATGGTCTTCCACCTATTGATCCGGAGTCCCGGGACAGTCGCTCGCACACCTTTTGGACTGACCCGATTTTCGATCCCGTGTGCGCCTCACTATCCACAACCATCGGTAGAGAGGATCTACAGATGAACCAAGGGAGGTACGGAGTACACGGTGTTCATATCGCAGATGAATACTACTGTGGATGTACAACTCCATACTTGCTCCGTAGTTTTATCCTCACCGCTCACAACGGTCAATCAGTGGATCCGTCTCAAGAATGGGAAGCATAATCATCCCTCGTCTCATTAGACGGACTCAGGCACAAGGGGATCCATTGCACATTCCCGCGGTTACCGACCGAAAGGTCAAGCAGTTGACAAGTGGACTCAACGTTTCTTCGTTGACCGCCGGGGGGATTAAGCTTTCAGTGGGAACAGAAGGTCGCGTCGAATCTTCTTCGATATTGCCCTTCTGGGAGGAGATCGACGGCGATTCTCATCTGTTGTGCCGTGGTTGGGCGGTTTGAGGAGGATGAACCATGGTTCGACAGTGATTTATTGAGTAAGCTATTTCGACTAATTATTCCTAGTCGCGTGGTTCCCGGTTCTTTTTCTTTCATTTATTTGGGTTCATCTTTTATGGAAAGGGAATGGAAGGGGAATGGAAGGATCCCGTGGTCACATGTGGCGGGCTTCTCCATTTCGTCTCAGGTACGCTTTGGGGAGGTTGTTGTGGTTCTGCTGTTTTGAGTATCGCGTTGTTCTCCCCAGCTACGGCAGCGTATACGACCTCAATAGGATTGATCCCGGATCGATTTTAAAATTGACGCTATCGAAGCACGAGAATATACCAGGTACAGATCTTGATCGAGTCGACGAGATAGCAGTAGATGGTATACATCTCTCCCTTGTCGCGGTCGTATTTGCTTTGTCAGGGATCGCCGTCCAGACCAGGCTGGATGCCGGGCAAACGGCCGGCACGAGACAAGCATATGTAAGTCCGCGGATGTCTTACAGGCGCGGTAGCCATTTAGACTCGTGTGCTAGAATATTCGGGACGATGGGAAAAGTCGGTGGTTGGTGGCATTGCTTCAAGACCAACGGAGAGGAGGGACCAATCCAATCAGGGCGCATCCGGACGCAGGACACTAGACAGGGATATTGGCAAGGTCGCATCGACGTCTCATCTGGCTGACATTTGAGGCCAGGGAACCCAAACGGCCGAGGTAGACGCTACGGCAGGGCTAACCGGGTTCAGTCGGTGGGCCGTCGGGAGTGGGCCCGAGGCAGGCAGGAAACTCGGTTTCTCCCAGTATTCGTTACATAATCGTCTTGCCCCGAGGATGTGGAAGCCTCAGGAAGGGCGATCCTGGATCGAGGTTTCAATTTCACTTCGGGGACTGTCCGTGCTGACCTCGAGGAACGACGCGGAAGCACTGGCCAATCGTAGCGTGGGTGATGCGTGCCCACCAATCAGACCCCGACGATAACCAGATGAGAAGGCCTCCAATCCGGAGGCGAGCCAAGACAAGACCCGCTTGGATTGATTGGTTTCCACTCCATTAGCGTTATCTTTCATCTCGTGCACTAATCTAACTCGAGTGGGAACCAACCAGTGCCCTTTGCTTTCATTTTCTCGAACGGTTCCGTTTTGACCAACTGGTTTGGACGGACGACTCTAACTACTACTACTAGTACTAGTAGTACTACGACTGCGCAGTAGTAGTCGATGTGTAGGTATAGACGGAGGACAGTCGTCGATGATTTCACCGCCATCGGGTCGATTGTTCGTGTTTGTCGCAAGGGATATACGACTGACTCACTCCACGCTTGCCCGTTTCGTATTCACCTTCCCATTCATCCGTCCTGATTGCCATCTTACGGTAGTACGACCAGCCTTGCAAGAGTATTATCTATAGGGCATGAGTCGAAAAGGTAGCATCGGGGATGATTCGGAGGGGCGTTTTGGTGCAACGACGGGATTAAGTGAGTAGGTTGTCTCGTGAACTCTTCCCGACAGAGTAAAGGCAACGGTGACCTCCAGTCTCCAGTTCGGTCAGGCTGAGCCGTGGGTCCGACGTCACGATGTGGAGTCCCCGACATGCGACTCTCTCGCTTGCTTCGACCAATGACGGTCCAGGTAATTTCGGTTCGCGGGTCCGTTTTGCTGCACACCGGACACTCACCTTCTTCGCTCTTGATGGGCGTTCAGCTGATTTGCCGGTGGCGGCTTGGAGTTGGAGATCCGCCTCAACTTCAATCAATCATTGTGACGGGGTAACCGGGACGGTAAGCGGTGGGACAGGCGCCACGATTACTAGTAATAACATTACTTCATTTAACTCTCTTCTATACTTCTCGAAGGAGACACTCCTCCGTCCTCTGTAAGATAATCAAACATGATCTCTCGGAAAAGTGGAGCGAGTGGGAGATAACCCTCAAAGGGGAAGGCCGTCACGCCTCTTGCCACAGTGTGTGGTATTACTCCAGCGTCATGATAGGAGATGGACGGATCTCCAGAGAATGTAGCAGGAAAGATGGCATGCTTTAGGTAAAAAGCGGTCAAGAAAGGAGCGACAGGGATTGGAACCAGGGTCGGGAGTGTTGTCATCATGACTTTTAAGTTGTTTTCGGGAAAAAGGGATTGATGGGCGTTGGTTGGTTGGATTTCCTGAGATCCGAGTGGCATCTGCTGTACTGGATGTAGTCTGTGTACCACCCGTTCCTCACCCATTCCTTCTGGATTTCCTTCCTAATCTTTCCTTGGTCGATCCGACCAGGATTTCTTCCGCATAATCAAATTAAATTAACCCGGATGGAATAACTATCACTTTCTGGATGGATGTAATATGTATCATCTTGCCATTGTCTCGGGGATTTTTTTTTTTTCAATGAGAGACGGAGTAACCATCCGACGTGACGGAAAATCCTCCCTGATTCGATCGATTATTAGGGATTTGAAGCTCGGCGGAATCCCGCCCAACCAGAAGCAGCCAATCTTTCCTTCTTCCACTTCCTCGGCAAAATACCGTTCCCAATCCGGTTTAGCGGGTGGCTGCCCCCCATCGGAATCTTTCCTTGACGACGGGAGAGAAGTTCAACGTAGCCCATATGGATGTGAATATCGTTACCCGAAGAAAGCGATAAGAGACAATCCGACGATCCTTTGGAATGGTCCATCATTCTTACATCAAACACGATTTGAAAATTAAAAAA